ACATGTCCCGGTTGTATACGTTATGCACAGTTGAAATAAAACGTAAGACATACATCAATGAAAAAAAAAAAAAAAAGATCCTTACAACGATCTGCCAGAGCAACACTTTTTAATAAATAAAATAATAATCTATGTATTCCAATGCCACATTATAGCAGCAAGTTGTGAGACTGATTTACTAGCTAAGAAATGAATATGCATACTTTCAACACCATATTACTCTTTTTTTCCAATATCACTTTTCGGTGAGTAGCTCTCAATATTCATGAACCTCAAGAACAATGTAAGAGCATGTGCTTTTTTTTGGAAGCTGATTCTTCAGGAGTATGTGTATCTTAATACTGATTATGGTTCATCAAATTTTAAATAATATCTACTGCCGTTAATATGGAATATATTTTTATCACTCAATTTCGATCATCTTGAAATTATTTTAATGGAGAATCATGTGCTCCTATTTGTGAAAAAAGAATCACTACGGTAGCATACAGACTTCTTCTATGCATATTTTCCTTTATTTAATAAAAATTGTTGCTCTGGCAGATCGTTGTTTCCAACAGTCCGCGCAATTTCGTCATCGCAACATGTATTTGATCCGTAAGGATCATTTACCTCTTGGTAAGTTGTAATAAGCAACTTTCCTCGATGAGATAGTAAGCGCTAGTTCGGTTTTGTTCTTACACTAAACGTATAAAAAAAGAGAAAGAGAAGAGCATGATGTGTCAGAACGAGAAAAATATCGCGCCCCACACATCAACGAGAAGAATTGCTTATTACAACTTACCAAGAGGTAAATTATCTTTACTGATCAAATACATGTTGCGATGACGAAATCGTGTGGGTCGATGGAAACATTGACCTGCCAGAGCAACACTTTTTTATTAAATCAAAAGTAAATAATAACAATTTTATCAGTATGATTGAAAGATCCATTTCGTGGAAAAACTATCAGTCAAGTAGCTGGTGATAATATTTTCAAACAAATCTGTACAGCGGGTGGCAATAAGTGAAACTGAGGTAAGAATTAGACGAAAATTAAAGGTTTCAAGTAACAGCAATGAAAGTGAAGACGAAAGACGAACAGAATGGGATTCAACGGCCCTTAAGGCTGGGGAGCGTTTGAGTTTTACCTAGACACAAAAAATGCATGGCTCAGAAATTTCGTGATGGTTACCTCAAAGTTCCGTAGTGTCATTAGCTCTCTCCCTCGACTGATCCTATCTCCTGAGTGGACTGTTTCAGTTTCACTTGACCATGTCATGAATTCTCCAATGGTTTGTGCCATTGTTACAGACAGACAGACACAGGTGAATTACGATTTCTAGACCCTATTCTTTCAGCCTATGGACTATATTAGATACGTCGACATAAAATTTCCGTTTTGTTTTCATTTCATTATGTATTAAAAAGTGTTGCTCTGGCAAGTAGATGTTTCCATCAACTCGCACGATTTCGTCATCGCAACATGTGTTTGATCAGTAAAGATCATTTACCTCTTGGTAAGTTTGTAATAAGCAATTTGCCTTGTAGATCAGTGAGGCACGACATTTCTGCTGTCTTTACACGTTGTGTCTTTTTTTCCAGTCCTTTCATTGAACATATGTGTCAATGCAGGAGCGACGTCGAGATTCTCTTTCCTTCAAAATTGTTATCGCTTCTCGGCCTTTTCGGCTAAGATCAAAGTGTAGTATCTGTTCTCGTCGGTTTGAAAGCCGGCGCTGGTCCCATTGGGGCCAGGCTCTTTCAAGCGGATTTTTGGACATCGGCCAGGATCACCCGGGTTCACTCGGACCTGTGCCACGGATCGTCTCGACACTGCAGTGCCGTCGAGTTCGGTCCACTCCCGTCTCCTTCGGGAAACGGGATTTCTCTTCCTATAAAATCAAAAATATAAACCGTTTTCTTCTATCGAAGTTTTCCCTAATCTATTACAATTTACAAAGCAAAATACTGTGTTTGGTTTTCAACATTGAAGCGAATTTGCTGATTTATTGCTACCAGCGTTTAAAATAACGTCGAATTTATCACTGTCAGAGTAGTGAATAGTATCAAAGCGAAAAATTCATATTGCTTTCCTACAAATTTCCTAATATATATTTTAACTCTAGCAATAGGTGGGAGATGTAGTATTTTTTTTTATTGATGATCTAATTTTAATCATTTCTCATACAGTTAACATATTTTTCATTGCAAAGGACTTTCGGTGAGCTTGGCACTAACTTCGTATAGTGAAGATCTTCAAACCTTGAGTTAAATTTTAGAAAGGGTGTGGGTTAAGATACGATGAATTCAAACACACAAATTCAAATATTTTATGAAATGCAGCAATAAGACATGTTTATTTTCTGGAATGAGCCTACTAACATATTGTTTTGCACAGAAACATGTAATAGCATTCTTTTACATTAGTCTTACCCGATTGAAGAAGACCTCTCATACCTTCCATCTTTATAGTAGTTTTCGAGAATTTCGGATACACTACTAGTAAATATTTTACATCTTGTATTGAAACGCCCATACCAAGAGAGCTAATCGATTATAACGATTAATTTGACTTTGAAAAAGCTTTCCTTCATCAGGATGATCAAGTTCATTAGTACGCATACTATTTATTTGTCAAGCGCGCTTATGGTTCTTGTCCATTTCTTTTGGATAAAAATTCTGTATCAAGTCCAGGAGTCATCCCAATTATCTGTCTGAGTGGGTCTTTTTCTCGATACGAAAATTTTTAGTTAATCTATCATTATCTTCTAATTTCAGTTCATGCATTCTTTCAATCAAGTCTATCTATATTATCATAGTCCAATAATTTATCAACGAATGGTTTCGTTTCAAATGCTTCAAAGTCATCAATATATTCGCTTGTGCATGTCGACCACTTGTATCAACAATAATCAATTTGAAAATTATCTGTACGAAATATCACATACTAGCGCTATTTTCCAACCACGTCTCATATAATATGATGAGCATATTTTTTACATGTTGCAGTTTTCCCACTATCCTGCAGCTCAACAAACATCACACTATTCAGTTTATTTTTCACTGATTGCAAAAGCTCTAACTTTAGAATTAATCAATCTGGCAGGTTCGTTAAAAACCACACCCTTTAATGGTATGGTGGCAAATCAGCGAAAAACGTTTAAGCGAAAAATTTTGAGCGAAAATTTTTGAGCGAATAAAATAGCGAAAATATCGTTTGGCGAAAAAATTTTGAGCGAAAATATCCTTTAGCGAAAACATAGTTTGAGCGAATTGTGAAGGGTAAAATAGAGTAATCTTCAGTTTAACTTAACATAAAAAATAGGGGTGTTTTTTAAATTTAAACGAAATGTAATACATGAGCATCAAATGATATAAAAAACTACCGATTTAGAAATAAAATATTTGAAGGGTGTGAGGTGTGAGCAAATGTTGATGTTGTCCATTAGCTTAAACGAATTGATCGCTTGCATTGATATGAACATTCGCTGCACAGCTATTTGATTGACAAACCCAGTACTTAACTTTTTTTGTGGACTGTTTTAGTCGATAAACATATCCTGAATAAATAAGCATTCGTTTCCCTCGATTTGAAGTGGTAAAAGAGAGTGTTGTCGGGTCAATCATCACTGGTGAGTGAAATGAACTAAATGAATGAACTATGTAACATCAATTACGGACGATTATATATATCGAAAAAAAAAAGAATATAATAGATTAACACGTTGAGAAGAGTGAAACCGGCAAATGCGGTCATATATGCAGACACATCCGCATGATGATTCATCGTCAAACAAACAATCAAATCTTATCAAGAAAAAATTTCTCTAATTTCTACAGCCGCTCTTTTTGCTAATAAAAAAACTTCGAGTTTTCGCTATTTTACTTTTCGCACTTTTTATTTTCGCTATTATTTATTTTCGCTCATTTTTTTTCGCTATTATAATTTTCGCGCTTTGTTTTTCGCTGAAAATACCTTTCGCTATTATGATTTTCGCTCAATCGACACCATATCGTGTTATCACCAAAATGTTTTGATGAATAGAAATAGTATCATGCCTTACGATTGAGTATCTCAAAAATATGATCTCATGTGATCAAAACTTTGTTGTGGTGACAAAAGAGTGTAATATGTGAGGGGTTTGTTTATGAAATAACAAGTGATGTACTTCATAGTAAATCAGGAAACAGCATCGTATTTTTTGATAGCATAGAAATCAAAATTATTAATATGACAACATTAACAGTAACGTCTATTATCAACATCGTGACAAACGCGAGAACGAGGAACGAACGCGCATATCAAGTGGACTAGTTCTTCATCTTTGCTAATGATTGAGCCGATTCCAACAAGCTTTCCTCAACATCAATCGAACAGATTGTTATGATTTACGCATGTCAGCGTCGTACAACAGTAAAAATGGAATAAGAAATGATAGAACATACAAGAGACAAGTGTAATCGGCCGTGAATAGTGCGTCGTCTAAGCGAAAGAATGTATATTCTTTTCAATAAAAACATCAGACTTCGCTCTTGTTCACCATCCGCATCCATTTCGAACAAAACAAAAAATGGAAAGTCCCAAAAGTGGATCATCTACTGAAACTCAAGAATCAAAGTTATTGCAATCGTCGGACTTGCCAACGCCAAAACCAAAGCCAAATAGGACAAAATCATTTCAGTCAACGGTATGTGAAGAATCCATGATAATATCGTTTGGCATAGAAAGTTTCTTGTAGGTATAAAATTAAATTCGAGGAATCAGTTTCTTTTGCATCATAGAATCTGAGCAATTATTCTAAGAAAATAAGTTTATTTGATTATTGTTAAGAAAAAACAATTTTGTAAAATTTTTTCCTGTTAAGATTATTTACTCTCACCATATGCTACTTATACGATGCTTCAATGTCGATATTTTCTAAATTTTCATTTAGGTTCTTCGAACACAACGATTGATGAGTATTCTCAAAACAATGAATACGGTGGGTGAAATCAAACGAACATCTTATATCGAATCTAATGCTAGTGAAAGTGCACAATATCAAAGACGTGGTGCTAAAACATTAGAAAAGGTATTTTAAGCAATTATTTGCTTCTTCGATTAATGATTAATTTAAACTAATCCCACGCGATTGAATATACCGATTTAAAACGCAACTATACTTAAACAAAGAAATTTTTTTTGTTTTTCTTCTTAAAAAAAGATTTCTAAAATGTCTACCAACGGTTTATAGATGAAGAAATAGGCAATATCAGGGTTCTTCCATTGAAGCTATCAATTGTAATTATTGATCACGAACCAATTTGTAGAAGCTTTAAGCTGCTTTCATAACAAAAGAGAAAGAAGAAAAGAAAAAATGTGACAAAAGAATCAACAAGGGAGAAGAATTTGAGAACTTTTTATATGGAGTATGTTGAAAAGAAACATGCTGTTTAGTGAATCTTTGTATAGCAGAAGACAACGACGACAATGAGAAAAATATCGAGATTTTCTTCATTTGCTTCAGCTGAAACTAAGTCACATATACGATTAGATGGAGTAGTACATCGTGTAATTTATTTTATTTTATGTTTTGAAGCAAATACATCAATTTATGATTATTCTCTATTATCTAGGCAACTTCAGACGAAAGTAGTGAAACATCTAGTATTTTGCCTGCGTTAAATCAAACAGGAAAAGCAAATGAAGCCATTGCTAGTTCACGTCTAATCGGTCAACGATTTATTATCCTTCACTATTCACCGTTTAAAGCTGTGTATGTTTATATGTCAACAATTCTATCTTCTATTTTCGTATACAATTTAGATGGGATTGGGTAGTTATTCTACTTGTTTTATATACAGGTATCATAACGCCCTATACAATATCATTTCTATCTGACGATGATCAAAAACGAACAACACTAAATCAATATGCTTCTACACGACGATTTAATCGAGAACGAACAAGTATACAAGCTTTAGTTATCATTGATGTACTCGTCGATTTTATGTTTATATTCGATATATTAATTAGTTTTCGGTAGATTTATCTTCTAATTCTAATTATATTGTTCATCCATTTTTTTAATTTTAGAACGACATTTGTTCTAAAAGAAACCAACGAAGTCATAACAAATCCGATATTAATTGCGAAACATTTTGTTATTGATTCATGGAGACGTTTCGCTGCTGATATACTCGGTGCACTGCCATGGGATATACTTTTTTTTGGGAATGGAAGTCATTGGGTAATTTGATTTTATTGGAAAATAAAAGAAAAATGAATTGATTTTCTATTCTATTGTAAAACGAAAATTAGACGATACGTCTAGCCAATTGTTTTAAATTAGCTCGACTTTTGCGACTTGTTGCATTCGTTCGAAATTTCCAAAAAACAGAATATCGATCCGCTGTTTTATTTCTTTTGATGCTTCTGTTTGCTATTGCTGCACATTGGCTTGCTTGTATATTTCATTTTATTGCAATTCTTGAACGACCGAATTTACAGGTTAAATATTCGTGGCTTGACCATCTGGCTGATAAATATAAAATGCCATATCGTATGTGAATTTTGATGAAGAAGATTAATCTTTCAAACAATTTTTTTTTCTAGTTGTGAATGATACATTGAGTGGACCAGATACAAAATCAAAATATTTAACAGCACTCTTTTTTGCTATGACTTCCCTGACATCAGTTGGTTTCGGTAATGTTGCTGCGGTAAAATAATTTTTCTCTTTTGTCATTAAATCATATCTATCTATTTCTAATTTGGAATAGAATACAAATGGTGAAAAATTATTTTCTATTCTTTCAATGTTAGCTGGATGTAAGTTTGTCAATATGAAAAAGTCTAGTTAATTTTTGTTTTCAAGCTTTTCTAAGTGCTTCGATTCTTGGAAGTGTAACAACAATTATTATCAAATTATATCAAGGTGCAGAAGAATTAAAAGAAATGAAACAGAGTATTGATGATTTCATTAAACATCATCGTATTAGTAGACAACTTGCTAAACAAATGCAAGAATCATTTGATCACGAATGGAAAAATACGAAAGGCATAGACATGAATAGTGTATTGAAAACATTTCCGGAATGTATTCAAGCTGATATATGTCTTCATCTTAATCGAGAACTATTAAATAATTGTGCCGTATTTGAAGATGCCAGTGAAGGTATTTATATATATATATATTTATATGTATATACGTATAAATGATTGATTATTATTTTTTCTAGTTACACTTCGAGCATTAGCTCTTCTATTTAAATCAACTCATGTTCCACCTGGCGACACACTTATTCATCAAGGTAATATTCGTTTACCACTCATTATTTGTGTTTTTATTTATTTTGTTTTTGTTGAATTTCTAGGTGATGTTCTCTATTCAGTTTATTTTATACGTGGCGGCCAAATGGAAGTAGTACAAGATCATGAATCACAAGCTATACTTGGTCGAAATGATATACTCGGAGAAAATCCATGCGATACTACGACACCAGGAAAGTCTCAATGCATTGTCAGAGGTATGAAAACAACAAATTTTATCTATGAGAGTTATTTAATATATTCATCACAGGTGTAACTTATTGTACATTAAATAAAATTCATCGTGATGATCTATTACATGTCTTTGAATTATATCCTGATTTTGCAAAATCATTTGCAGAACGATTTCGTGTTACGTTTGATCTTCGTCAAGTAAAATATGAAAATATTTGAAAACAAAAAAAAATAATAATCTGTCATTTTTAGTGTAAATTAATTGAACCGAAACCATTCTATAAACTAGATGATGATATTCAGACACTTATTCGACAACGTCGACCAAAGTTACAAACAGAACGAGAATTAAGCATAATAAGTGAAGGAGAAGAAGGTAAACTGGCAAGGAAATAAAGCAATTCGTTGATAGACTATATGCTTTTGTTTTATTCTTTTGTTAGCCACTAGACTTGCTGCATTACAATTATACCGTGGTGTTCATACGAGTATTGACGACGTTACACGACGACGTATTAGTACGATTGTAGAATTATCACCTGATCAAGCACATCCATCAGCTGAAGAATTGGACTATAGTAAGAAACAGCCGCGAATGTCACTAACACCATTAACTCGTGGTAAAAATTTATTTTTTTCCTTCATTTTAAGAGTAGGATGAATTTTATATTTGCAGGAACTTTAACTAGGGTATTGTCTACTATTGCTGAAATGCCAAAAACAGCTAAAACTAATGTTCTAAACATGCAAGATAGCGTAGAAGAAAAACTATCAATAACAACGGAAACACATTTTGTAACAGATAAGCCAAAGTAATGAAGCTTGAAAACAGCCAATAGATATTCAGCAATTTAAAGAAATCTTCTTTTTCATAGGCCAATACTAAAATATGAAATAGCTCCAGTAAGAAGTATGGCTGATGTCGATGCGGAATTGTCTTTTCTTCAAAGGTCAGATAGAATGAAGATTTTCATTAGATTATCCTATTTGTTTCATCTTTTTGTTTTCAGTCGCTTTGATAGTTTAGAGCGAACAATGGAAAATAAAATGAAATTATTGTTGGAGTTTGCAAATGCTGTTCAAGTAAAAAACTAATAACACAACAGATAACAAAAATTGTATTGTGCTATGATAAATTAGATTTAATAAACGTGTATTCTTTCAAGAAAACAGTGTGTGCGTTAATTTTAAAATCAAATTTTTAGTTTTCTCTAAATGATTGAGTAGCTGTTTGCATCGCCGAACAGAAATAGAAATCAAACAGTTGACACTTACGGGTTGACTGATTATTCTATTCTAGTAGTAGTAGATTTGATTGCATGTCGTCTGAGCAGGAAATGAAAGAAACAAAGTCGTGTTGATCATGCATTCAAGTGGATATTTTGTCGGGTTATCCTCTGTGATCGTTGTGGTTGTCGCCTAGTAAAATATCCTGTCAAAATTATGTACACAAACAGGTTGTGGCCTGAGTTAGAAGAAAGTTAAATCATCAATTCATTGAAATCCTATTCCAATGAGATTTCTAAATCAATATGAATTAATGGGGTTTTTTTTGTCTTTTTTTTTATCTCTAATATATTACATAAGTATGGAATTCATATAAAAGTATCTTGAACATGAAATCATTCGATGTCCAATTAATGTGACAGTTTTTTTTTTCTTCAAGAGTCATGCAACAGATGTTTCTCGATCTTTTTTTAATGAAGAAAACGACATTACTATTGACTCACACTTAGAAAGTCTTAAAATAACAATATGTAATAAAGTATTTCAAAGTTTTTATTTGATGAACAAGAGACGTTTATGAATAGTTTTTATATTTATGAGAAATCGAAGAATATATTTACATAGTTAGACTATATCTAATTTAGAAAAGTGATGTTGAAACAACTTATTGTCTTTCAATTGTTACATCGCGCGAGTCGAAGATGTTGATAGAGTAGCTATATACGTATGTTTGTTTGCATTGATTTTAAATCAATATGCACTAAGTATAAAAAATATTTAATTCGAAAATATCGGGATATCAAATTATATGTTTATACAGTTGAATAGAAATCAAGATTGCATCTAATATGAACATTAATAATACGGAGCAAAAACAGTTCATTTTCTTTTTTCAATATAGTTATTCAATAGACTTGAAAGTAAATCTATATGATTGAAGAGCACGGCACATATGTTTTATTACTGTAATTTGACCGCATGATGCGTATTCAAAAAAGAAAAAGAATGACGTGTGGTGATTATCGGTGTTTGTTCATTTTATTCATTTGATATCAGCCTATATTCACAGTTGGCATTAATAGCGCATCGACACATGCTGTTCAGTTATTCTCGCAAGTACACACATGTGATTTTAATTATATGGTTTTTACTACTATTAAAATCGCCAACGATGTATATACGGTATGACCTTAAGTGTATTACTATATTGAAGTAAAAAAAAGCATTATTTATCAGTTCAATGTCATCCTAGTGTACTTGACCGCTTATCATATGGTCAAAAGAAAAAGAAATAACAAAAGAACATATGCACATTCGTATTCATCGTTGTGTTTGTAAACGAAATAAAATAGTGAAAACATCACGTTAGATGGTATATATATATATATATATATGTACACCCTTTTGACACCGATTTTATATTCATGTATAGATCAGGTCACTTCTTATATTCTCGAATGTCAAACTACTTGACCTATCATAATGACTGTAGAGGAAAATAACACCTCTATTTTGCAAAGATCTTAATTAGACAAGAGATTGATCACGACATTTGTTTTAATAAACAATTAGAGATTAACATATTATATGATGAAAAGAAAATCAAATGGCACGGATAGTATTAGAGATTATAAGTGCATAAGCTATATGACTGTCATTTGCATTGATGAACGCAGTCGTTTTTCGACGAAAATCAATGAACACATACAGCGTGACAAAAAAAGAAAAGTACTTAATATGTCTCGCATTATTATGACAAAAGCGATGTTGACTGACCGATGGTCTTCTCCTCATACTTTTCCTCTTTGTTCTTTTGTTCTTCTCCCTAAGAGTCTAGGCTACAGAGACGAGCACTTCGGTCACTTTTCAGCTTATATATATATATATATATATATATATATGTACGCACATATATGTATGAAGTTATTACTTTGAACGAACAAATTCTTCTCTCTTCTTGTCTTAATACGGGCACACGTCAAAACGACGATGAGGTATGTACTTATACATGAACAAACGAAGAAAAGCACAAGGGAAAAATAAGAGAAAGAGAGAACTGACCGGAAATTGAATGCTTACACATATAGAAGAACAGGTGTCCACACGTATGAACAAATAGATTTCTATTGCATAAGTTGTTTTTTCTTTCCATCATCTAGACATTATTGACACGTGTCAAGTCTATCATCGGTCTGCCCTATCGAAACAGGTTATTTCTATCGTTGGAAAAGTATACATGGTAGAGGTTGTAACACTCATAGAGACTATACTCAATGCTCTAGTTATGAAATACGGTATCCTTCATATATAGTGTCTAATCGCTGAACAAACAATTATAGAGAGAAAGAGAAGAGTGTATAAAAAGAAAAAAATCCAGGACTCAATCATGACAAGTTCGTGTACGTAGTAAATGTTCTTTCATATGCTTTCTCCTGCTTCTTTTTTTTTTCTTCGTTTCTATAAATATGAGAGAAATTCAATATCCTTATAACGTTTCCATTTAAAAAAGAGAAAAAATTCGACCTTGTTTTCGTTTTACTTAAGAACATTAACTAAGTAAGCAACTAAGTTATATATATATATATATATATATATATATATCAACATAACTGTACCAATATTATTTCTGCATATCATCAGTCTAATGATGAGTGTATGACAGTCTCTCTCAGCGAAAGGAGTACAGTAATACATAAAGTTGTTCCTCCTACCTCTCTTGTGCGTGTGCGTTCTTTTTTCAGCTGCTTTACACTCTTTATAGCTCTTGTCGTATGCGACATTATATTGTTTATGAAAGTGCAAGATGCGACAAGAGTACATGAAGTGCTAGACAATATTTTTTTTCATTTATCCTTTGCTAGATTCTATGTTTTTTTTGCGTTTTAATCGCTCAATAGCTTTCTTCTGAGGTGCACTCGAATTTCTAATCTACAGACTAATTGACATTTTGAAATTTAAAAAAAATTCAGTTATTTACTGCTAATATATATATTCTTCATTCTCGATGTTCCTATTGTACCCTGCTTTTTGTTTCCCACAAAAAAAGCACGCATTGATGCTTTCCAAGTCTCCATTTCTTGCACTTATTTTCCTTCTTGGATGCTCCACAAAAAATGAAAATCATTTCTTTTTATTCCATTCTCCATCATGTTTACAGCGTTCTCATTCTTATTCATCTTTCCTTTTTGTGTTTAGTTAGTACTAGTCATATGTAAGTGTAATAGACACACAGACACATAGAAAATCAAATGAACGTTCATCAATAGATAAATGCATCATATGATACCTACTACTAAATTTATTATAGATATTTTCTGTGAACGCATTCATCTTCACTTCTCATTATTATTATAATCATGGTAAACAACAATTTTCCACAATAGTAATTTTTATTGATTAATTGCCCATTGAAAAATCTTTTACCTATTTAACGATGTGGAAGAAAATCAAAGAAATTTTGTGCAAGCATAATGGTGAGTTTTTATCTTATTATTTTCTTTTTCTTGTTTTGATAGTAGACATGCACAGTTGTCTTTATGATGATACATGCATATCTATATATGCATCTGGTATCGTTTCACCACACACACACACACATATATATATATATATTGACTGCATGTGTTCGATTGCGAAGATCATGCTAATGAATGACAACGGTGGGATGCTTCAAACCATAGAGAACAGTTAAGATAGACGCAGAGAAAGCATAAATATAGAAATGCTACGATAAGAACATCCCTTTAGTGAATAAAAAATATTCAAGAGAAGGGTTTAACGAGACAAGCTATGAATATATATAGAAAATAAAAGCATGGCCAATATTAGCGAGTAGAAATATTCATTGATAGGAAAAGAAAATTACTGAATTTGTTTGATTAGCTCTCGTTGAAACGGCAATGATCTTTAACCTTGGCCTTTTTTCTATCTGCATATATATGTATATATGTATTTGACAATGTCAAAAAAATGAAATCACGCAAGAGAGTAAATATTGTACTCGACATTAATATTATAGTAGATGAACGGAAATCCGATCTTTTTTCAATCGGATTCACAATTTACAATAGCCATGATCTATGATTATTATTATTACTAATATTGTTTAGTTTACAAAGATGAGGCAACTACTGTATCCGGACAGAGTACTGTAACAACCTCGGTGATTAACCTTAAAACTTTACCACCGACATCATCACAAGCAACGGAAACACTTCATCATCATCATCAAACATATCGTAAAGCAGCAATCGGCAAAAGTACTTTGAACAAGACTGATGAACATTGCCGTTCATTGTTTAATCTTTTACCCATTTCACTTCGGCCTCGTCAACTACATCAAACTTCAAATAACAAAGGCGTTGGTGCTGTAAGTATGAAAAAAAAGAAGAAGAGGAAACCAAGCGATAGAAAGAGAGCGAACAAGTGAATATAATAATAATAAAAAAAGATCTATTGCGTCATACAGCCGTTCGAACTTGTCTAGTGACACTTCACTCATCTATCATCAATGCACATATATGCATAATATGAATTAAGAGCGGTCATAGTCGTTCGACGACGATAGAACAAATTGACTTTTATTTCTTCCTTTTATATACAGTAGACTTGTAATCATGGTAGGAAATACTACTGATGTAATCATCATTTGTGTAGACAAATTTATTATTATAACTATTTTTGTTTTTCTATTGACGGATGATGATTCTTTATAATAAATTCAATCAAAAAGTTTTGTCTTCTATTCGAACGTGTCATTTATTATTTTATAATCAGATTAAATATACATTTGATTTAAGACAAACTATTGTTGGTTTCTGATAAAAATCATTGTTAATTCTATCAAGTGACACTATACACTTGTTGAACATTGATTGAAACAAGATCTTTTAAGACACTAGTTATTGTTATAATTATTCGTTAAAACAGAAAAACAAATTGTTCTTGATGAATTCATTATCGGATTGTATTCCTCAAAAAAAAAAATAAAATAATAATCTCTGTCATTCAAATTAAATTTCATCTTTGTTAGTCATTATTATTACTCAATTTTTGATTCTCGTGGGATCATTTTGTTCTCATTATTATCAGTTGTTGTTACTGAGTTGCTTTCATTGTTTCATGAAACTGGGCGCATTCTTCTCTATTCTCGTTCTTATTCATGTCGCACAACAGAAAGTTAATTATTCACGATTAAGAATTTACATAGGGTACTAGGGGGAAAAAAGAAAGAAAGAAAGATGATAATAATACTAAAGAGCAATAGAAAGATCCATGAAATAATAAATATTGCATCTCGGATTTTTTTCTCGCTTGTCTGTGTGATAATCATCATCATTTGATACTTGATTAAGTTTCATTTTTCTTTTCAAACATCTATAATTAATTATACTGATAGAGATTTTTCAACTAGAAAACTAGTTAACAAAGTTAAATAGAAGAATAACGTCCAGTCGCCTATACGAGTATTTCTCTATCACTGTAGTTTTTTTTTTGCTTCTTTCATGTCTATTTACTAAAGGTAATCCGAAGTAAACATTGTTTCTATGCACGAAAATCAAAGCCAAAATATAAAAAGAAGGACATAGACTTAACTCGATATGACGTTTTACCTATTTCTTTAGTCAACAACAACACAAATATCACAATCAATCGATGTATTGGGAGCTGATTACGATTCTGGTTATATGTCTCAAAGCGTTTTAAATCGTACACCATCGTATACATCATGTTATTCAGCAGTAGCAACAACTGTTCCCGTGCCAACAACAAATCGACATGGATCAATTGAAAGTTTATTACATGGACATTCTAAATCAAATCCAGCTCATATACGCGTTCTTATACGAAAAAATTTTGAATCATTTGCGCAAGCTCATATTTCTGTGACAAAAGGTAAGCACAATATTTTTGCATAGAAACCGAATAATTATTGTAATCATCATTAGGTACTATTGCTACTGCTCTATTTGCACGTGGCCCATGGCTTTATATACGTTTGGAGTCCAATGGCGGTCAAACAGGATATATTCCACGTATCATATGTTCATTGTATAAAAATCGAATAGTGTCAGATGAGAAAAAAAATCATTATCAAACTAATCGTCATTATCATCTATCATTATCATCAACAGATTCAGTATCAAATAAAGAAGATGAACTGGATTTAACTGTCTTACCAATACCTAATGATGCATATTACATGTACACATATAAACAGAAAAAAGAACAACAGATGAATCGTTATCTATCTCATAGTTCAAATGTTATTAATGATGAACCGAAATCGAAAGAATATTCAAATAAGCGTTCTGTACAAACAAATCTCATCGGACGTGAAAGACGCAATACATGTACATTAGTACCACCGTTAATAAATTTATCCAGAGATCGTCGATTAACAGTCAATCCAATTAATTGGCCTATACAAACGACAAACTGTGAGCTTGTTGGTATTCATCAAATAAATGATATATCAACAGTGAATAATAATGTGACAATACCACCACCACCACCACCACAAAGAGATACAGATTCTTCCAGTACACAAGATTCCGGTTATTCAGAATCAGCATCGTATTTTCTCGTTCAACAGGCAACATCTGATACGGAACAAATATCAACAGTAACCAATACTCCAAAAGTATTTTACAATTTGTTTTTATGTTTTTCTACCTAAAGATTTTCATAAGGAACAAAGTATTAATGAAAGTTTTTGATATTATTCATACTATAAGATATCTCATAGATCAGATTTCATAGAAAATATACTCGTTTTTTTGCTTTTCTTTGTGGTTATGAATATGTAAGGTGACGAACGTATTCTGTTTGATTAATGAGTTTTCCTCTCTCCGATATTTTATCGAAAAAATAAAATGAATAATACAGTAGACTTTCTAGGATATAAATAATAAATATCTTTTTTTTCTTTTGGTTTCATTATTCAACAACAACAAAAAAAATAGAAAAAGCGGAGTTGCCTAATGTGGTTTGTATAGGTTGAATTTGCTTACTCGAAGAAACTAGTGAGACAATAAAATTAGTGTGTCTTCTGAATAGTCGAACTCTTTTCTTGATTTATACTGGTCAAGTGTATTTCTTATATTTTTTTTAAAAAGTAGTGTTAAAATCTATTCGAAACGAGAAACAAACACAGCAATTGTTCAAGAGAAAATCAAAATTTCGAATTTAAGCCATTAAGCTCACATTAAAGATCGAACTAGGACCAGAGATATAGTCAAATTCTATCCTAGACCATGACATTTTCGTTTGATTGAAATAGCATGCCCTTCAGACGAAGACTACGATGTTTGTTTTTCTTTTAGCAATAAAAAGTTCAATGGCCTAAACAGAAATTATGCTCTAATAATATATATTTTTTTCAAGTGTGATTTTTATATAAAATAATTGATCTTCTTTTCTTTTTTCAAAGAAATCGACTTCATCACCTCATTATGCTACTGTTCGACATGCAACTCGACTTAAAATTCCTGATACAACGAATACACATCATAGTTCTCTGCGTCGTAACCAGCAACAAACAGCACAGTCTACTCGTCCTCTTCAATATCGACATACACTGGTAAATGGTTTACCCATAAATACGATGCTAGCTAATAATTTGAGTAAACGTCATTCATTTGGTGCATTTTATATAAATGACAATAAAAATTATGATCATTCGTCGACAAAATCTGTTAATACAATCACAAATGGTTTTCACACACGTTCAAATGATTATACTGTAATAAGAAATGCTCGCCGTGAGAAAACCGATCTTTATCAACAAACAAAACCTTCTATACATAATCTACCTGAAAGTTACCAACAAATCCCGGCAAGTATTTTCCTACATCATCATCGTCAACAACAAAAGCAACAATTTGGTAGTTCACATAGTGCATTTCGACCTGTACAACCGACAACAAAATCGAAGCGTGCGTCAAGTGAAGGTCATTCACCTTCACGTGAACGTCATTCACCTTCACGTGAACGTCAAATAACGTCGCCAGCAATATCTATATCATCATCATCCCTATCATCCTCGGCTTCATCTTCATCAAATTTGAAACGAATGTGTCTACTTAAACAAAGACGTCTATCATGCGATATATCTATAATACCAATGATACCACATACGAATTCAAAGAGTTTAACACGTTCTGTTTGTGATCAAACATCAACAAAAAAACTAAATAATTGTTCGCGTACAATGAGTGAGATTTTATGCGATCAATTTAGTGAAATTAATTTAGATGCTATCGAACAAGATTCACTGACACAGTTGCAAACAAATAAAAATGAACAAACAATGAACAAAACTGTAAATATTCAACAAAATCTATATACAATAACGAAAGATTATCGAAGTTCACGTGCTTCATTTTCTGTTAAATGTGGTGATTGTGTTCATGTAATTAAACAAGTTGGACGAGCATGTTATCTTGTTCGAAAACAAACCAATGGACAGATTGGTTTTCTACCTAAAGCCTTAGTGGTACCAACAACAACGAATAAAGTTGATACTTTTCTTGAAATGCATGGCTATCGAGAGACAATTATTTAATTTTACATTTTTGTTTTTGTTTTTGTTCTGCTGTCTATTGTTTTTAGTTGTGAATTATTATAACTTTTATTGTACGCTCCATCTTTTTTTTTTTGTTTTTTTGTTTTTTTTCTAGTCCTTGGCAGGTTTGCTTTGCTTTTGTGCTTCTCCGTAATCATTTACCTAATGTTTCGATCTGTGTTACAAACATCATATATCTATATTCCATGATGTTTTCTGGCATGTGTGTAAATCTGTGTGTGTGCTGATTCGTAAATTTTCTTCGATGGAAAACCTGAAATTGTAACTTCAGAAAAACAAAACGACCTAGGCTATTAAGAAAAGAAATAAACAAATTTTGTAACGAAAAATTAAAAATTCACGTGTTATTGAAAACAAGCATCTTCAGAAAACAAATAGCCGCGAAGTTATAATCAATGTTATAATGAAATTATAACTCAGACGGTAATTCTTGTTCATCAGCAGACGCTATGGATTAGATTCGAACAATGATACTGAATATCTATCATCTCATAAAGCCATTGATTCAAAATTTAACAAATCCGCCAATGTTATTTCTATCTGTATCGTGATACAAATATTTTCGAATATAATTTGAAGTAAATTAAAAATATGAAAGTTTTTTTTCTGCGAATTTCCTAACCAAAAAGATTATTGTGAATCATTTGGATGCATTGCTTTTAAAAAAATGAACAAAACAATGCGTTCAATATGTACCCACTATATAACGACAACCAAGAGAACGGCCTGATGGTCTAGTGGTATGATTCGCGCTTCGGGTGCGCGAGGTTCCGGGTTCGATCCCCGGTCAGGCCCTCCTAGCTTTTTTTTGCCTATTTACTACTGACTAGCACTCGGCAGGTGTAGTGCTATTGATTTTCTATGTTATGTATGTAATGGCAGAGTGTATACATGTTAAAGATCAAATTAATTTTTTTCTGAAATCTAAGAAAAAATCGAGACAAGCAGTAATTGATGGTTACCTCTAACTATTCTGTAACTTTGGTATAATCATTAGATTTTGATAAAATAGTTGATTGATAACCAAATTCAATGAGACACGTGTTTGTTTTTTTCTACCGTGCGTTGCTGATAAAAATTAGTTTGTCTATGAATCTCAATTATCTATCTTCAATTTTTTGTCATGTTGACAATTTTGTAAAGGTGCAATTATGCTGAAGGCCATATTTATTTGTCGAATTTTTGTCTGACGATTATTATGTAGAATTATTACAAATGTAAAGCTAATGAAAAAAATATAGAGATTTATCATTTCTCACTTCAGATAATAAACTAGATTTAGATCAACAAAATGATTTTAAAAATGAAAAATGTTAATTTGAAATCAGAACGCAGCTTTTTTCTACTCAATTAATTCAACTAAAATAATGAGATTTGACTTAGCTTGTTTTCTTCTTCTTTATTTAATGCTTTCAAACATTTAAGATATCTTAAAATATTCAAAGTAAAATAGAATAAGCTAAAATAAATATTTGATTTCACTTCTATATATAATATGCCTATATTAGAAAGTATAAGAAGGAAGAAAAAGACTTGTTCTGTGTTCTATTTGCTGTATGATCGGCAAATAAATCAAAGCCAAGGATAGCTTAGTGCTTTGATATTTCGTTTCTTCTAGATCATTTATTATTTAAAAGAAATTACTAATAGATATAATACTCGATTTTCATACATAATTATACATACGCAATCAAAACGAATCTGATAAGGCGGGTCGATGGCGTAATGTATTCAGTTTTAGTTTCTTGTTTAATAATGCGATTTATTTTTTCTACGCATGCCTGTTTAATATTTCAATGGAAGGTTATATTAAGGTGCTTGATACATTCTAGGTCATCTATTATATTAGTAGCGTCCTCTGGTAAAAGTTTTCCCCCATTGGTGTATATGGGAACAGCTGTTTTAAGAACGATAAAAAACCGAACCATTATTCACACTTGTCGAAGAGAAACGAATAACAAATATCTGAAACAAATAGTTTACAAATCATTTTTATGGGAACCTCGTACAGCGAGTGTTTTTTATGAATTAAAAAAAGCAGATATGAATATTTGATTTATCTCTCTTTCGTTTTAGTTTATTTGAATTTGAATAGCACCATGTCTGATGAATTTAGCGAAATTGATTTAAGTGATAATGCAGTACCAACTGAATCTTTCGAATCAACACCTAATCTACGAACACGCCGCAAAAACTTTCCTTTGCCAATTAAACATACCTCAAACTCACCATCACCAACAAGTCAAATAAATCCATCATTGTATCTTAATACTTCTATGCACGAAAAAGCTTCGCCACCACCGCCATTGTCTCTTTTCGATAGTAGTAATTCGATTCCTTCATCCTTTAGTACACCACCAAATTCTATTCGATATTCACAATCATCGTCATCATCGCCTGTACCAACGACAATCGCATCTGATTCATTGTCACCAAAGAATTTAACACGTTCCGGCGGTTCTACTGATTTAACAAAACATACATTTAATTTTCCAATACCAAGACAAGATTCAATTATTGATTCCTTATTATCTGTCATATATGAACGCGATGGTAGTGTCTATACTTTATCATCGTCACAAGATAGTGATACAGTGACAACAGGTGATTATACAGATCGATCTTTAAACATTCATCGATTAAGTGATGATTCAATGATAAATGATAGCAATACATCATTTTCAAAATCAAATCTTGCCAATAAAAGTAAATTCACTTTCGAATATAATAGTTTACTGTTGTTTTGTGTAGGAGCGAACAAAAAAAAACAATCATATTCACAAATTTAAGGACACTCTACACTAGGCCCCATCGCATTGTCTGAAAAAAATTCTTTAGACATCTAAAACGAGTAGAAGTTATTTCGAATGACCCATTTGAACATATAACAATTCGACAGGTACGTCTAGCAAAACTCTAGATGTTTTCACAAAGTTGCGCATCGTAAACGTAATGTGTTCCTGAGTCTATTCTTCTCATAAAGTTATATTTCAAAGTATAGAAAAACTTAATTCTTAAAATTTTAGGTACACAAGAATTGCGGTATTTATGTACTCATCTTCAACAGCAGATAGGTCAACTGAACGCAATACTTGTCAAAAATCTTCGTCATCGTGATAAAAATCTATCGAAATTACAGAAGAATTGTGATATTATTACAGCTATCTTACAAGCCGCGTCGCTAAAACGGCGTAAGTTTATTTTCAGTATTCTATGCGAAAAACTCCATCATTAGTTTGGGAACATGCGAATTCTTACATTTACAGAGCTATTGCAAGGCTTACAATAGTAGCAGAGGAATTTAAACATTAATCAACGACCGACGATGTTTTTGGTAGCTCTAGAGAATACACAGTTAATCGATTACTTCAAAAGCCAATAGGGCATAGAAATTTTGTGTTTTACTTATTTTTATATTCTATTTATTTGAAATACGAAAAACATAAAAATGAATTCTTGATCTACTCTCGTGAATGATCAATATCGGTGAGAACTTTAATTAATTAGCTTTAGAATATTTTTCAAGCGATTACAACAAATTATAGATTAGCACTTAGAGAAAAACTTTCTAATGTAATAAAAGAATTCATTCAAATCAAGGTCTCTTGTCTCATTAGACACCATCACTCACTCAGTAAGCAAAGTACAAACGTCTTATTTGATTTTTATCAAATTTATATGTCCGAGAACTAAATGTGTCTAGATTTAATCAGAAAGTTCGTGCAAAACTAATAATAATAAGAGTACAATACATACATCATTAACTATAGTTTAGTTATTCGTCTTTGACATATTCTCTATTGCATTTTTATTTTCTTGTGCTCGACTATACTACATTCCTAATGTTACTTTTTTTGCCATTTTCTCTCTTTTTATTTTTCTTTCTCATAGACTTTGCGTAAGCAATCAGCCATAAGTTACGAGCATGCTCACAGAATGTTTATACTGATGTCTCCATTACATAAAAATGGGTAGTAGCCGCAGTTGTAGCATTAAACGATGAATCGACATCATCATATTTATGAAAATCGTTACAGAATAGAATAAGAACTTCTAGCTTGCTTGCTTTCCCTCCTTTTATTTGGCCTTTGTTTGACCGATCGTACGAGCATTACAAGAACATGTTGTTGCTTGTTTTTTTTTTCGTTCCCTCTCGGGTTATTTTCTTTTTTTTGTATTGAGAAAAAAAGAGAGAAAAAAAGAAGAAACAATGCACAACGACAAGCTTAGATAATGCTATTCACATGCAATCATTTATCTCAGCACGCTATTCATTGCAGTTTACAGATAGATGATTGCAGTGCTAGTATAGAAATTCAATATATATTTTTGTTCGAAAAAAACAAGAGAGAGGAGAAAAATAAACTAATCTAATTTGACTAGTGCCAACGTTTTCTGTTTCCTACCAATCTCTTTCATTCTCATACATGTTTTACATTGTTTCCTTGAATGTTCGATGAGTGATTCTTTCTTAAAATAAAAAAGACTATCAAAAGAAAGAATATTTCTCTTTGATTAATGACACAAAACATTATTCAAATTGCATACATCTATTCATCACATTTTCAAGATGACAATCGGTAGCACTCTGGATGCATCAACGAATTCCTTATTCTCATCAACAACAAGTAAGACAGATGTAGAACAAAAGAAAACAAAAACGAATCGTGCCTATGTTCAGTGTTGTTTTGTTTTGTTTTGTGTGTTGCTTGTGCCTAGCCGTAGTAGATGTTGATTGAGAATAAAAATGTGTAATATAATTTTTGTTTTTCTTAAATATTCAAGGTGAAGATACAACAATGCGATTTTCTTTGGCGCCATTTCCTGGAGAAAAAGGTTTTCAACAATGGAAAGATGCTGTATCCGTTGCCATACGAATGCCTGGCGGCTTGCCAGCGTCAATTCGGCAAAAAGTATTAAATTGATTGTTAAATTAATCATTGTGTAAAATTTTGTTTTTTAGCTTTGGATATCATTAGCTACAAATTATATTCGGGAAATTCAGTTAGATTGGGATAAAACATGTCGATTTACGTTTAATAATTTCTCGAATCCAGACGATGATCAACTTGGTATTCAAATAGTTAAAGTAAAAATTGGAACATTTTCAAAAGCAACACTCGATTATTTTTTATTCTAATATAATTGTAGGATCTTCATCGAACTGGTTGTAGTTGGTCATCGAATGAACACGATCGTGCAACATTAAAACGTGTTTTACTTGCGTTCGCACGTTATAATAAATCTATTGGGTATTGTCAAGGTTTGAATATCTTAGCGGGTGTTATACTTGATGTTGTCGATATGAATGAAGAATATGCTTTAATGATATTGATCTATTTAATTGATAGTATATTACCAAACTTTTTTTCGAATAATCTACGTGCATTAGCTGTTGATATGGCTGTTTTCCGTGAATGGTTAAGAATTTACAATGGAAAATTTCATTTACATTTACAAAAACTTCAATCATCATCGCATGATGCATCAGGTACAATATACGAGCCCCCGCTATTAAATGTGTTTACCATACAATGGTTTTTAACATTGTTTGCAACGTGTCTACCACGACGAGCCACCGTGCGCGTTTGGGATGCACTGATGATTGAAGGAAGTGAAATTCTGTTTCGAACGGGACTGGTACTTTGGTCGAAATTAGCTGTGTAAGAATCATTAATTTGATTCAGAAAAAATATAGTATTTTTGATGTTATAGTCCAGTTTTAAAAGTCTCAACAGCTGATCAATTCTATTCAGTCATGGCAAATTTATCAGTTCAATTGTTAGATGAAAAGATCATAGATGCAGACAATCTAATAAAAGTAAATTTGATTATAACAAGGACAACATTTTTTTATTCTTTGATCATAGGAAATTTATAATTTCGGTCCATTTCCAACACCGATTTTATCGGATTTACGTCAAAAATTTTCATTCAATATTACACCATTTCAACAATTATCTGGACCAACTGCAAGCACATCGGAGGATCGAAAAATAAAACAAGGAGTTGTACGATCAAATAGTGGTGAAGTAAAATTACGAGTAAATTGATTTCTGCGAAAATAGGATGATGTCAAAATTGGATAGAAAAAGAAAAAGTTCAACTAATGCACTTGAATGTTGTTCCCAAAAGAGAATTGTTTTTCTGACAGGCTCAGTTCCTGTGTAAGGAAGTTGGACGACCCCTAATCGATAGGTATTCAAAATTGATTATAGAAGAAACAAAAAAGAACCTATCCTGTAAATTTTATCTGTACTATTCTTGATTAGATTAGGCTTAGTAGTAGAAAGGCCGTGCTAATCAAGTTTTTCTTTTCTTTTTAAACAGGATAATAAACGATTGAAAGTAAAAACGAGTCCAACGAACGATGATGAAGCAACACCCGATGAAGATATGGTTAATTTTATGTCCTGTTTTGCTATCTTGTCTTCTCCATCACGAAACAACCGACGTATAATACAAAAAATATTTTTTTCTTGAATTTCAAGTATTTTATTTTGTTTTCGATTCTAGTCGAATATCATTCTAATGAATCTACAACAAATAATAATACAGCAGCATTATCACGGTTGACACCTGGAGCTTATTCCGGTATACCAACAACACATAAAACAAACTCTATTGAAGATTCTCTATCGCTCGACATCAGTCAACTTCGATATCAATATAAAAAACTTCAAGATCGCAATAAGCAAGTACAAATAATTATTCAAAGTATAAATCGTTTTCATTGATTATGTTTCTTTCTCTCTAAATTTCATTTGACTTATTTTTAGCTGCTTCAAGTGAACAAAAACAACGATCACGAGCATCATCTGTTCATTCGTCAACAACTAATAGTTCAGAAAACTTTCGTCGTCCTACAACATCTTCACTTGAGTGTTCGCCATCGAAATTTCCATCTTCTGTTTGTTCGATAGCAAGTGGCCCATTAGTAAGGAAATCTTTCGTGCTAAACGAATCTCTCAATTCGTCTCTGTCTAGGTTAATCATTTATTAATTAAACCATCAGATATAAAACGAAATCAATTTAAAACAAACGTATCCATTAAATCTCCATCAACTCCTCCTGTACAAGATCGACAACAAACTCACGTTCTTCGGCCAGTAGTATCTGAGCCAGTTCCACAAAAGAAAATTCAACGTTCCAAAGAACAAGAAGCTGAAGAAGCAGCTGAATTACAACAAGAATTAGATCAACTGTTAACAAGTCTTAATCTTGAAAAGCCAACATCAGTTTCACTATCGAACATAACCGAAGAACAAGATAAATCTCCAACGAACGAAACAGTACAACTTAAAACTGTTGCAGAAACACTTTATAATTATGAAAAATGTCAGGTAACAAAAAATGAAAAAAAAGAATCACCGAATCTAATTGATCGTTTACTAACATTACGTTCTGTACAAATGCCAAAATATTCATCATTTAATCCATTTCCTTCACGATCATTCAATGAAAATGTTGCTGTTAATGGTTATAAACTTGGATTATATGCACCCGATCCATCAAATCGTTAAATATGGTCTTTCACGTAAACTCTATCATTCCATACGAATGTGAATCTCTTTATTTTTAAAAGTATTATCTGATTGTAAATTTTATTTTATTGCTTATTTGTTGTTTTTCTTTGGTTTTGATCTCATCTATTTTTATTTGGAATCTTTGATGATCTTCGTTTTTTCCTCTTTCTTTCTCGTGGCAATAAAATCATTTATGATTCTGTTATGACTTACAGTGATTCATTGGATAAATAGTGACTAAATTTCATACAACGTAATATGTTGTATTTATTTTTCTTACTTTACTATAAACATATTCATATGCAAATTTCAGACACCAGGGCTGCAAAAGATTGTTTAAATATTGTATGATAATAGTTGATGTGTATAGAGAAAATTGTATATCTAAATGATTGATTCTTTTCACTCATGATGAGGTAGCTTGAAATAATAGTATTCTGAATAAAAAAAAGAAAAACATGCTGAAATGCACTTGTCTTCTAGTTGTAATTTTGACAAAGATAAAAGATAAAGATTTTTTATGAGTCGTTTATAGTAAGCGAAAAACGATTGATCATTTTCTTCAATACGAACTATTGAGAGATTTATTGGTTACTTAGGAGTAAGTCGTTATAAAACACAGTTTTATAAATATCTTGTGACATACTTATTCATCAGACGCAATAGTGGGACGAAAAAAAAATCATAAGATTTCAAGCGAAATATTTTTATAGGTGCTGCAAAATTCATCTAGAAAATTAATTATCCAGCAAAGATCTAAACATGGTCCTTCATACTATTGATCTCTTTTAAAACTTGAGTGAACTTCAATGAAATTTAAATGTAGCCGCTGACGATCTAAAACTTTCAAGTCATCACTACAACAAAAAGATCGGCACAAACTTGATTGCAAATATGAGTAGCTATGTCTCAAGAAAGTATACCTGTTGAAAAACGGACAGAAAGACAAAAAGAATGAGTGAAGGGCAATAAATACTTAACTCGTTTTTATTCATTTGAACCGTAAGAGACAAGCGCAACCGTTTTCGCTTTCATCTCTTTCTTTTGATTTGAAAGTTACAAAGAGAGAGCAAGAAGGAAACGTTGAGAGGCTGAATAGTTCATTCAACGAAGGTCTCAAGTAATCGATATGTTATCATTGCAGACAAATAAAACAAAAATGGTAGCCGAGTACTTTTACTAAAAAAAGAAAAGAAACGAAACGAAACAAAAATATAATAATCTGAAATTTTGATGAAATTAACTAGATTTGTTTGAGAACGAGTATCACGTTATTATTTCTAAGTAATTTCTGAATAAATCAAATTGTGTTCTGTTCCTTTTTCGCAGCATGCATAAAAGATTATTGAAATTTTGTATGTGTTACAGACGGAATAGAAAAAGGTGTCATACGCTTTTTCTTTCTTTAGTCATCAAACAGAACGGCAAGATTAATAAAAAATAATCCTCCCAAAAAAAAGTACGAAATATAACTAAATTACCTTCAAGTCTGAAAAGAATGATATTTCAATTATCTAACGCGTATCTTTTGAACTAGATTATTTTTCATCTTCTACATAGATGTATATGTTTAACAAATAGAATATAGACAAAAACAAAACAAGATTTCTTTTATAGATGTATATCAATTTTCATTTTGGCTTTCGTAAAAGTAATAATGTCATAGCAGCATCGACAACTTCAACACTAGGAGTCGAAGTTGTTGATGGGTCAGTTTTTGAACGTTGTTTTTTTCGTTTATTATTAGTATTAGTATTGGACTCGTCGGCTGAACCAAGACGATGAATAGTTTTATCGCGTTTTGCATTGTGTTTTAATAATGTTGGACAACTATTTTCATCATTTGTATTACGTAGTAATGTTAGTCGCCGTTCGGAACATAAACGTTCATAGATGTCGATTGTATATTGCGTACATAAAGATAATTGACGTGTATTCATAGTTAATAATGTATCAAGTAATAATACACGTTTTGAACGATCCGTTGTCCATAATGGATAACGTAATTTAATTCCATTCACCGGATCTTTGATTATTTTAACAAAAAATGAGATTTGTTTTGTCATATGATAGCGAACTTTACTCTTTAAACGTGCACTACGAATTAATTGCTCATCCGAAGACATAAGTTTTGTTGTTTTTAATGTTTGTTGTTGTTGTTGTTCAATATGACGTTCAATCCAATCACATATTTCGTTTAATGTTAATGCATTTATTCTTGATTCTTCAATAGCAAATAATATCCAAAAGCATAATGCTGAATGTGGTGGAGAAACAATATCAGATAAATTTGTTGTTACACGTTCACTTGAAGAATTTAACGATGACGAATCATTATCATGTTCACTATCAGAGGAATCGATAAGACTTGAGGGCGAGGAATGATGATGATGACGAGGAATTTCTTTTTTATTCGTAATATATGTTGGTAAACTTTGACTGAGTTTTGGCACTGGACGCGTTGGATTCGTTGATCGTTGATCGAATATATCCGATCGAGTTAACCACGACAATTCAGTAAGATCATGATCGGTATATAAGGTTTGTTTAAAATTCATTGGATAATGATGCGTTAGCATTTGTCTAAAATTATCTTTCAATAATATATAAACATGAAGGGCTAAAGAAACAGAAAAGAAGAATGCGACAACACTGATATCGTATTTGTTTTCAATAGATAGAATGATATCACTCTAAAACAAAAAGAAATTCTCATCTATGGCAACATTATATAAAAAAAAGGATTGCATTTTCTTTTCGAAATACGCGTGACTCATTATATACGTAATATGTTATTTCCTTCCGCGTGATGTGTGGTCTAGATGTTCTCTTAGGTTTTTTCGTTGTTGTTAAAGTTGTACTAATCGGGTGGAGAAACAAAGAGAAAAGAAAAAGGAAAGAGAAGTATGACACTTACTTACGAAATAGAAACAGCTTCTGTTTTGAGTGCGAATAAAATTAGCCTTTTTTTTTGATGACATAATTCTCTTTTTTTTCTTTTCGTTTATCTTGAATTAAAAAAAATTTTTTATCTGAAAATACAAATATACTAGTAATGTATCAGAGAGCTCACTCCTTACATACACGCGACGAGAAATTTCGATGTTGTTGCTGATCTGTACTGTCCGTTCGTCTATATGGCTGTGAAGGCAGCAAAAAAATATTAGAGTGAGAGAGAGAGTGAGAGTGAGAAGGTGCACAGAATTAAGAAGTAGTGTGTGAGTAATGGCTGTAGCGCGTTGTAAAGAAGGAGACAAAGACGAGAAGAAGAAAAGAAATAAGAGGAATGGATTGAGTCTTTCATGAAGTGTTAGCTGTGAAGGTATGCGTGTGCCCGCCGAGAAGAAAGAAGAGATAGACGACGACAATGACAACAAGGGAATAGTAGTTGAGAGGTGAAAGAACTATTGCTTAGCAACATGGCATATGTCTTCCGACCTTTTACTTAGTATATACGTATATCTACATTGTATGTAAATATATTAAACTTATTTACCTCGTGACAAAAGGATGAATGATGAGTGTCAAAGAAGAAGAAAAAAAGAGGATATTGGTTTCCTCATCGATGAATATTGCATTGAGTGAGCAAATTGAGAAAGCGAATAGAAACTAGAATATATCAAAGAGAAAAAGATTTTTGGCTCTTATCAGAACCATTGTAACAATCTGCTGCTATTTGAGTAAATATTTAAAAAAACTGAACGCATTCAAAAATAAAAGTCAACTTTATACCATATATGAATTATTAATATTTATCATTAGATATACAGAGAAAAATTGAAAATCGATCTTTGATTATTCATAAGAATAATATTGAAAAACTTAAAATATAATTATATCTCATTAGGAAAAAAAGAGTCAAATGTCCTTTCTGAAATCAGAGATTTTACTTTTTTTTCCTGTAATTTAAAATTTTTGTTTTACCGTCTAAATATCTTATGTGAAAAGGTAATAATAAGTTGTATAACGATCATATTTATCTGACTTTAACAAAAGAATCATATGTCCACTTGCACGCATTTCGTCAACTGATGCCCTCTATAAAATCCAATCTTCATGGGTTTCTCAAGTTGTAATAATCAATCTAAAATTAAAAACGGCAAGCGAAGAAAAAACCCGATTTTGTTTTACTGACAAATGGATATTGAAATGGCTAACAATTCGGAGCAAATAATTCAAGTTCTTGGAGATCGTATTGAAGAAATCGAACGAACTCTCGATGAAGATGAAGATTTTTGTAATAAAGATATTGATGCAACATATCAAGCGGCTGTAAATTATTTAAAATCATTTGAAGAAAAATTTAATGAAAAATTAAATGAACTTAAAATAAAACTGGAAAAAATTCGTGAAGAAAATATCGACGTATCAAAACAAAATAAAAAACAATTTGATGATGAAATCGAAATCGTTAATGAAATATTTTCATCTGGCAAACATCAAGAAGGTATGCGCAAATAAGAAAAAAAGAAATTTATTTTGGAGCAAAATAAATATTTTTTCCTCATTTTTAAGCTTTGGAAAAACTTGAAGATTATAAAAAACGTTTCGAACAACGTAAAACTATCATACAAATTATACCAAAATTATTTATGCGACCTATTGATCTTCAAGAATATTTTTCATTTGATAAACCGCTGACTAATTCTCGGCTTTCATCGAATGACAATCACCAATATTCACGTGATCAAGTGACACCAATTATGAAATCACAAAAACCTATTGCAACAACTCCTCGTCATATGGATGATCATGATAATAACAACAACGAAAAAGAATTTAATAGGTAATCGAACACAAAAAGAAACATTAAGAAATTTCTAAAATAATAATTTATTCTAGACCATCGAAAAATTTCGATACTCAACGAAGTCTACCAAATAATTATCCTATGTATAATATTATTAATACTAAAATAGGAGAAAACAAATCATTCTATTTCTAGTAATAGAGAGGTTAAATCGCCTCTATCAACTGTTCCATCTCGTCCTCTACGTATTAGTACACGTTTACTACCATCACCTACTAGTCCTTCACTCTCGGCAAGTAATTCTCGTGGAAATCTATCATCTAGTCATACATCTCTACGAACAACACCATCTTCACCAAACATAATTCAGTCATACAATCCACATCAAATGTTACCTGTAAAAACCTTCAAAGGAGCAGACGGTTTAGTGTCAACTTATGGTAATAATTTTGAAAACAAAACTAAAATTGATGATCTATTTATAGAGCTGTTGAAGGAAGCCAGTATTAATAATTTTTTTAGGATTTATTATTGAGCTATTTCTGCATGAAAATACATTCCTCGTTTGGTCAATTTTTCAAAGCTTTTAATCAGTGCGATACTCCACAACCATAAACTCTTTTTTGTTCATGATTTTAGTCACTCATTTTGAACATGTACGAGACACATCCGTGCTTATGACATGCAACGAAGACTATATAATAGTTGGTAGAAGTCGTTCAAATCAATTATTATCATGGAGTTTAAGTGCTTTTAGCCGTGTGGATGGCAGTGAACATCATCTAAATTGGAACGACCAATTAATTACTTCAATAGGTGTTATTAATAAAAAGATTATTTATATATTTTCTGGACGTCATTTTATTATATATTCAATGGAATCATTATGTAAAATTAATTCTTGGGTACTATCAAATGATCAAAGTCACCAGCATTCAGAATTGAAGAGTCAACAATGTGGTATCGGTACTGTATATGATAATTACATATATTATACATCTTTGAATATTAAATGCCAATGGATATTATCAATATTTGAATTAGAAACTATAAAACATATATGTGATTTTAATTTATCAGAAAATTTTTCTGATGTCAAACGTTTTATACATGTTTGTGTCAATGATAGATATGTTAGTTTTCTTGTTGAAACCGATGGCAAAAAATATGCAGCTGCATTTTGTTCAAGAAACCAACATTCGCTAATGGCATTAAAAGAAAGAATTGTTTTAAGTTATCCTGGCAACCCTTTAACTATATGTTCCATATATATTTATCATTTACAAAAATACGTTTTCTTTATTAATGATCCATCAATTAACATTATACATATAGTAACAAATGAAAAATATATACAATCGTCGACCATAGTTGCACATGCTTTTTATTATATACCAGAAAATCAAGAATTATTATTTGTATCCAATGATGGTATATATTCAATTAATATGAATGAACAGAAGAATTTTTTTTTGAAATATAATTAAAATTTTTCTGTCAGATGTGTGTTTTCATGTTAATCTCATAATTAGTTATTTTCATCTTTTTTGTTCAAACGTGTTATCCACTCTGTGATCTGTATATACATATATGTATGTACGCTTGGTTTTTTAACAATATGACATAGAATACTTCGAATAGGTTAAAAAGTTTCTCTTTAAAGAAACTAACATACGCTATATGATCTACTCTTGCAAACTTAAAATAGAGATCGTATAGCAGACTACCGTCGGGACTAAGGTGTTCACATTCATTACTCCGTAAGGTATACAAGGAAACGTCAAACATTTTTTTTCTAGATGCAAAATATATATTCACCCGAAACTAATCCTTTGCTTAGGGTTTCATCTGCGTTTCAATAGAAAAGTTCGTGAAGTAAACATAGGTACTGACAGTCTTTTCTTGGAAAGTAAAAAAATATCCTCCTAGTGGTCTTAACCTTATTTGATTGATATCGAATAAATTTTTAAGATCTATTTTATTGTTAAAAAACGATTAAATTTAACATCATATTGATAAAATGATGTATAACTCTTGCTAGGCCTATCAAACAGTTTTATTTCAAGTTTTATGACTAATCATTAGCATCTAGTAGTAACACATCAATTTCAAGAAAAGATTTTCTACAAACAAACATTAAATATAGATAACAGATGATACTAAATTAAGAGACACTAATAAAATATAGACGAATACAACATAAAAATAATGACAATTATGGTTTCCATGGTTTATCTGAAACATTACTTAGATTCGATCGTTCACTAGCAAGTGACATGCGTGAGCTTTGATGAGACAAATGAGTGTGCGAACGTGACAATCTTGAAGCAGTATCTCTTGGTAGTAAATTGTCTTCAAGTTGTGTATTTAATTGTTCAATATCATGCTTTGTAAATTGTTCACGAGCATCAAATGTTATCATGGGACCTGGAGCAGGTCGTGCTACCTGAGCACTTGATTGACCTATTGGTATTTCACTAGGAAGCATATTCATAGATTGTGTACGTTTTGGTTTTCCTGTTGGTGTTGCTGGTAAACGCGACAATGTCCATGATAACGGACACCTACCAGTGATGAGTCCACGTGGAAACTTCTTAACAGCATATTTTAAACCTAGAAAAACGAACGATCTCTTTTTTTTTTTATTCTGTTACGATATTATTTATTAAAAGAAGAAATTCTATATGTCTTCATTTTAAGACTCTTCTAGTAAGATGTTATTAACATATTTATTTCTATTAACAATGAATATGATACTCTTTTTTTCTTCGTCTTTGTATGCTTACCTAAAGAAAATATTAAAATATGGCGCGTCTCTACGATCTCGTTGCTTTACTAACTGATCGACATCACATTTTTACTTGTATTAGTTTGTAAATATGTAAAATAATCAAAGTCGTAGATGAAAAAAATATACATACCGCCAGAAAGTAAAAATAAATTGTTATAACCTCGTTCTATCATAATTGTTGCTGCTCTTGGTGCCATACGTTCATCTTCGTCATATAAAATAATAATTTTGCCTTTTTGATTTTTCTGCAAGTAAATGATTATCAAGTTAACATAGCTTTCTCTTACGGTATAAATAAGTTAATAATTCTACTATTGTATACATGCACTACATAACCTAGTTACATTTTCTTCAATGAAATGTAAGTACTTTAAAACGAAACTTGTATCTTATAAAATATTTATTAACTCATTGCAGCTTGATAATGTTTCATTAAACTCTTTTTTTTTATGGCATTAAAAACAATTTTCAATCCTTTGAAAATAATCTTAGATATTGAAAAAAATTAAACCGAAATCGTTTCTTTTGTTTTAAAATAATATTTGCACTTAATAATCGGAATTGTAGGACATGTCAAGAGAATACTAAGTAAATTATCAGGTCATAATGATGAACTGCTTGTATTGTCTAGCTTTTCCTCTGTTCTGTCTCTCTCGACTTTTCTTTCGTTGGGATTATATAAGAATTAAAAAAGAAAAAGAAGAAGAAGAAGAGAACCGCTATTATCTATATTATAAATACATGAGCGAACACAATTCAACTAATTATTATATTTTCAAACGTAGACCATACTAAATGGCTTTCATCGTTTTCAAAGTCATTTGCGTTGTTATTATTGTTCTACAATTGAGAACAATTAATCTAATTTATGTTCAAGGACATGTGGGTGGTTATTGTAGACTTCAAAATCGTACTGTTACTTTAAATATATGTAAAACTCCACCTCGTCTTATTATACCGGTCTGCGAAGGCTATTGTCCTAGTAGTTCTCGATGGGAATTTAATCATAACCGATTTGTACCTCGAACAAGTGCATGTACCGTGAAGCAATATCGAGTCGAAGACTTCACGTGCCGTGATTCTACTCATACAGCTGTCAAAATAATTATACCACTCGCGTGTTCCTGTAATAAACATTATTGCCAAAATTCTCGATGATTGTACATCTTTCATATCTACGAACTCGTGAACTATTTTGTTTTACTTTTGTTATAATATATATGTATGTATTTTAGTTTTATATGCTTCTGAGAGATTGTTAATATTCTAATGTCTGTGACTTTAAATATTCTTTGATAAATAAAAAACAAGATTTACATAAATAAGCAACTCTTTTGATTCATTGTTTGTACAACGTGAAAGCATAGGAGCTGGATAATGATGAGCTATATTTCAAAAAATAAAAGAATATTACGGGTAGAATAAAATAATCTTTTTTTTTTTTATCTACCTGAAACGATATGATTAGTATTAAACTCATCTTTATCTCGAAGATCAACAATTAGATATGGACATTCTTTATATGCTAAATCGATTTGTTCACTAGTTGGAGTCTGTGGTGTATTTGTATAAGAATTTTTATAATTATTGTAAGCATCCATTTCACCAACACCGCGAATAACACTAAAGTTTTTCTTATAAATTTTAATTTTAATGACTAATAAAATTTACCTTTGTAAAGTTGATCGCGACGAAGCAATACTTCGCACGCTATCTTGCGTTTGTGGCCGATCGGTATCAGCAGTTAGCGTTCGTTGGGATGCGCTTGGATCTATTGAGATGAGCATATATTTTTTTTTTGAAGGAATCAAAACAAATTCTCACCATCTTCATCATTTTTAAGATTTTCGCCTGAATTTATATCAGCAACTTGAATGATCTAAAAGTTTTTGTTTATTATATAGATAGAATATCTCAATTATCGACTCAACGTACCAATTGAATAAGTGTTGATACTTTCATTCGTTTAAATATTTCTCCTGTTTGTTGTTTCTTTGCTACAACGAAAACAAAAATCATCATTGAATTCGATAAATCGAAATCTGTCACTATCATTATTCTGCGTTCAATGGTCGGATGTTGTAGGAGTCGGTTTATCGAATTTGATGAAATTTTGACAGCATATGATCTTCTGGCATAAAGTGATAGATCATCTGTAGTATTCTATTTTCTAACTGTCAGAAAGAAGATTAAGATTTACTCAGAAGATTATTTTTACGTTTGAAATGTCTTCTGTCAAAATATATCAGTGAAGTTGAATTAACACAATAAATGATATCCTTTTTATCCACATCCATTCATGAGTTTTATCAAAGTCTTTTCGTGATTTTAATAAAAGAAACACAAATGATAATAGCTAGACATCATTGTGATAATCGGTTCAGGTACTATGATGATGAAAAAATCAACAAAACTCATAAATAATTGATTTCTTTGAGCATTGGAGCTGTAATTAGTAAATTTAAAATAAAATATGCTCAGTTCTTCAGGCATTGAGCTCAAAAAATTTTGTCAGACAAAGATCAAATTTATTTATAAGTCTTCAAAAGTTCATTAAATCTCATTGTGAATCGTCGAAATCAGTTTAACTATTTCGTAGAAATCTTTTAATTAAACATGGTAGAAAGAAATCAAATGGACAATAGAATATATTCGCTAAAAATAACTCGTACAAAGTTCACATGATATTAGCATAGAGTTTTATCTTTGATATTCAATATCTCAGAGTTCGACAGAAGTACTAGAACCCGATAATAGTGTTTTTATCAGCCTGGATACTATAATTTAATTAAATTCTCATTTAATATTTAACAGATGATACATGAAGTAGTGCGTCAATTCCTAGTTTAATACATATCTATTATAGATTCTCACATTAATTAGTAAAAAGAAATTTCAATTAAGGTTTCTTAATAATGAGGTTGTCCTCAAATCATTCAATCGCCGTTTTCTAATTTTTCAAGTATTCAGTTAAAGATTAGCCTTATTGATGACTCGAGATGATGCAGTAAAAACTCAAGTCGCATCTTCTGTTTTAATGAATCAAAGAAGCATTGTCCTACAGAATTTGTATGGAGGACGGAATTGATTTTCATTAATAATGAGGTCTAAAAATAAGTAAAAAAATCTAATAAAAAATTCGCATAATTTAGTATGAATGTACTTCAGAGATTTTGTATTCCTGTGTAAATAATTTATTCTTTTTCTCTATGAGTTTCATCGTAATGCGCGTAAGTACGTATTAAAAATTCAATATGACTTACATGCTCGTAAATCTTCATTTCGTTTAAGAAATTTCGTAAGACTATCTCCTAGAAAATGCATAGAAAAAGGCGTAAGTTTATTTTTTAACAAAACAAGAATGAATAAGAACCTGTATCAATGGTTGATTGAACATTCGCATATTTCGGATTTCGTGGTATACGTTTATCCAAAATCTATCAAAAATGTTAAATTGAAAAAAGTAACGAAAGAAGATTAGAATGAATAGTTTTATCCTACATTCATTTGTGATTTAGGCCGATTTGACATAGTGACTGACATGATTGCAATGGAAATTATCTAAAATTGTTATTTGCTTTATTATTTAATCTTCTTATATTCTATAAATCAATGCGGTAAGACTCGAGTTCATTGTAGTCTAGGTGAACCCTTAATATAGAATCGTATTGAAATGGTTGACTCAATTTTTATTTTTCATTAAACATAAAGATTTTCTAATTGAAAAAATCCCTTTATTATTCTTTTACAATATATACATGAATTTATAGTAAATATAGGTAGATGTCGTTGTTAATGGTACCATGAATTTTTGTACCGCAATGATTAACTTTCACCATAGAATGACTTTTAATTGAAATTACCTATACACTATATGAAATTCGTGTTTCTGAAGTAACACAAGCAACAAAGATTTTATCTTGACTGACATTTAGTATGCATCAAGAGATTGTATGAGCCTACTAACGCAAACAAAACATGATGTCATGTATTTGTGAATAACCTTCTGAATTATTCACATCGTAAAAGTATAATGATTGAAACTATACTAATTTGAATCCCTTCATTCAATATAAAAGCAAAAAGCAAAAAGCAAAAAGCCTTGAGAAGAAAAATAGACTGATGGATGAAAATCATTTATTTTCTAATCGTTTTCATATTTATTGTGTTGTAAGTAAGAAGTACAATGTGTTGATCTGTGGATCCCATGAAAGGAAGCTAAGTGCAAACAAAAAAAGTGGATAATTATTACTATTTCTAGTTTGAAATAATCATTTAATCGTCAAAATAATAGCGAAGTATACTTCAAAAATATTTTGTAATCTGAATAGCATACAATGGCCATAAAACAAACGCATGTATTTATGCGTCCTCGCTTCTGTAATTTTATTTTCATCAATACTGAAATTATTTTCTCTTTCGTATATTTTTATAAGCATCATCTGTACACTAGAACAACTCTCAAGGTGAAATGCAACTAAATATTCGCTAGACGCAAAAAAGAGAACGAGAATTATTACGAGAAAAAGTGCAACGCAAACTAAAACCAATATAGAAATTACAGAAAGAAAAATGAAAGATGTTGACTGAGAGAAGACAAACATCCCTGAGTCAGGCATTACACCATAGTGAAATAGAATCGAAAGACATTGTGATTATCATCATTGATTATATACGCATATTATCTACGGAATCACTTGAATAATCCTAGATTTTTCTCTTTATTCAAAGACTATATGAGAGTTTTCATCAAATAAATAATATTGTTTGTTAAATGGTATTCATTTTTTTTTACTACGTATGTATATAAATGTCATTATTTGTATTATAAGTTCGCTTATTATAATTTCTATTGAAGTCTTATCGAGTATAAATTCCGAGGTAAAAATAACAGAACAGGTGTCTTTGAGATTTTACTGAGAAGATTTATCACCTGTAGTTTTACTTTATTGTAATTTTTCGCATAGAATGATGCGTAGCTACGTAAATGTTCATGAGTCAGAATACGAAGATTTCTCTATTTAAATAGATTAATATTATCTACGCAAAAGAGCAAGAGAATTTTCTTTATCAATGGCGTCTGATTCTCAACCGTCATTTCGTGCTTCTTTGAAGGCTAAATTTAGAGAAGTTATTAAACCTAATATGACATCATCAATCCGTGAACAATTCAAATCGGCTGATACGTATAAGAATTTCACCAATATGGTAAAAGATCTACCAGGCGTTGGGACAATTATCAATAAAACAAAAGGAATCATTCCTGGTGTATTACCATCGAGCGACAATAAAACATTTGCAAAAGGTTTCTATGATTCTGTATTTAGCGCCGAGACAGAAAACGATGTTTATTTCAAAGTAGCTATTATGTGTTTATGGATTATTGCAATCCTATGCATAATACCAACAATAATTACTATATGTACACCAGTTAAGAAATATGGAATAACAGCAAATGGTACTAAGATGATATTTTTACATATATTAATTTGTGAATTATTTTATCTGATCTATATTCTATTATCAATGATAAATGTGGCACAAAATTTTCAATTAATAAATTTATTTTGTAATTTTGCTAATTACGGTTTGTACAGTTCAATTTTTTTGCATGAGAAAATCTAAAAATAGTTACGATTCTTTCATTTGATCAACTATTGACTAACTCCTTGAATAGTTAATGTACGGATTTTTCTTATGAATTCAAACAAATACGTAATTTTTAATCAAATTCGATAGAAATCAAAGAAAATTAGTTCTACACAATCTTGAAATTAATATCCATCGATATTGTTAGAGTATGCCTTCAAATTTCAAATTTCCATTCGTATTTAGGCATGTACGTAACAGTTCCAGTTATGCATTTTGCTCTATTTTTACTTTCCATGGAACGACTATCAACACGATTGAATTTAACAATGTCATGGACTGGTATATTTAGAAAAACCTATGTGATTCAAATTATTCTAATTTCTACTTGGATTTTTGCAATTGCACTTATGACAACAATTATATTATTAACAGATCAAATGATATCGTATGCTACTGATACAATTAAAGATCATGCTCCACCGATTGTTAATGATGTTCTAGGTAGAATTGTTTCGTCATCGTATCAATGTTCAATTGATGGTCGTTTATCATCTGTAGTTAAAGTTGTGTTTATTATTTTATTTCTTATACTAATTGTATTAATTATTAAATCAATTGCCATTTCAGTATTCTACAATTTTTTCAAGTCAGATTGTTGTAAAATCAAAAAACGAAAGGAAAAACACGATGACCATCATACAACATTATTATTTACTATATTTCTCCTATTAAATATATGTTTATCATTTCCATTTTATTTTGTATCGATTACTAATACAGTTAGACAATTAGTTACAAGAAACGATACGTATACAACAAGTTTAAAAGTATGTTTTCTATTACGAATATGTAGTATTATATTTCAATGCTTAACATTTTATACATGTGAAAATAATTCGTGGACTCTATTAAGTCAGCTACTTTATCATGGTACATGCAAAAAGATTCCTGGCCTAAATCAAAATGATATTTTGATAGAAGTAAAAACTACGACTGGTAGATCTCGAGCGAGCGAGACTTCAGATCATCGAAAGGGCGCAGACATTCCAAGACCTGGATCTGACATCGATGATAGTTCGACTACTGATGAATGTGAAGGTGATGATGATGTATTTGAAGCAGTTACAGAAGCTGAACCGTTACATTCAAAGAAACCTGTGACAAAATTAGATCAATGTGATAATGAGGATGTACTGAAATTAATTGAAAAAATAAAAGCATCTCCTAGAAAAGCTAATACTCATGAAAATTTAAATGAGAAAAAAGCGAAACTGTTAATAGAAAAACCAACAACAGAACATACAACTGCAGATGCTTTAACACAAAAATCATCTCGAAGTACGCCTACATCGAAACTCAATATCAATCACAACAAGACTAAGCGTAATCCTAAATGGAGTTCTTCCTCAGAGAGTGATGATTCTAATGTTAGTAAAAATTCTGATGATGAAATCAAACCTGTTAAGATAACACCAAAAGCAAAACCAACTACTCATTCTTCTGTAAATGAACAAAAACATTCTATAAAAACTTTGCCGAACAAACATCAACCAAGAAAACGTTCACAATCTTCTTCATCAACAAATTCTGATAGTAAAAAAGAGAAAAACTCACCACTGAAATTATCTAAGAATCTCAAGGGCCATTCACGAAAACGGAGAAAAGATCGTCGAAGTAGCCTTCTTGATCAATCTGACGAAGTTTAATGTTCTCATTTTACAATTCTGTCAATATTGATATTTTGTTGTTTTTTTTTTCTATTCAAGACTATCTAAATAGATCGATTTAAAATTCAATGAATTTCTCTCTGTTAGACATTACTCTAATTTCCATCAAGTTTTCTTCGATTTGAAAAGGTTCTTATTTTATTTCTATTTCACTATACACAAAAGCAAAAATAGTCAATCAAATTCAAAGATTTTCTATTTCATATATTCTAGAACCAGAGATGAAAACTACTTTGATTTAAAATATATTCGAAATCGTGTTCACTCATCATCGGACAGAACTTGCGCGGATTCTACTTAATTTTTCATCTACTCGATAATATTATTTTGTTCAATCATGACAGTTTGATCTATTTCGTTGCAGCGATTCTTAAAAGAGGATCTGAGTAACAATAGATCATATGAAACACTTTTCATAACTAATTTTTTACTTTTGCGAGCATTCGTTTCTCATTCAGGATATTTCTCCCAAGAACCACCAGAAAGCTCACGGAAGATGGAAACAGCGCTCTTGAGCGGAACGCACCGTGCCGGATCGTTCCCCTTCCAGCATAACCCACTCAAAAGGATTATCTTGAAAAACAAAATGCCATATCACCGACAAACTTCTCAGCCCAGGTCGATCATCCTGAATCGTAAACGGTCGTTTACGATGGCTAGCTGTTCTCTTAAAGTATAGTGGCATTTTTTAGATGATAGTTTACACAAGCTATCTCAGTGAAAATTATTAGGTGAACTTCGTGTAAGTAAAGTTAGCATTGTATTCGAGTAAAATCTGTCATATGCGTTTAAATCGATGTTTCAATCCACATACTCTTGCTCCAAGTAGATATTCACATGCTCTATCGGATAGTATATTTCGATTAGCTAGATCTAGAATCGTTCTCCTGAAAATCCAAAAAGTACCGCAAAAGTCCAATTAGATCCGTGGAATCCTTTTTGGCAAATTTTGACCATATTCATTTCAAGCAATGTTTCAACTCTCGTACCCATGTTCCAAGTGGAACTCGACGAACTCTATCCAGTCGTGTTTACATATTTTTCGTAGCTCGAAATCAGACTTCAGCGCTGATAGGTTAACACTAAAGAAATCTCAGAAGATCCTACTTTGAGCTATGAAAAATCTACGGACATCACTGAATAGATCTCCTCAACTTGTGTTTCGATCATGAGTGGGACACTTAGAGCAAGCCCTTTGACGAATATGGTGCTAGAATTTCATAGAAAAAATACAATCTTTTGAGATTTCGTGGACCATTTTCAGCAAAACAAAAAATCTGATTTGACAAAAGAAATTCAGGAATGTTTTTGGATTTTTCGAAATTTAAGGAGAACGTCTCGAGATCTAGTTAATCCAAATTTGTCGGGTGTGGATGTGGGTGTCAATTTGGACATGGCTCGCCCTGTTCCTTAGTGTTCTACACCAGCACCTAACGAATGACAAAAAGAGGATGATAACTCAATTGCGGAATGGGACGGAGTTCCGTGTAATTTCGGTTCGACTGAATTCCCGGAATTTCGTTCCGGAATTGGGTGTAATAGCGAGGATTAAGGATTGATAACAATACCATGATAAATCAATTCCCGGAATTCACTAGTCGACGATTTTGACATCGTTCTTTCCAGGTTCTTGTTTTTCTTGGGTGGCCAGACAAGATTCTCTTGAAAATCAGACAACAATCATTTCTTGAGTTAGCAGCAAGAAATTAACCTGATTTTCAAGAATACAACATTCTTGACACGAAAGACAAATCTCGATCTGCCAACCGAGATTCTCTCTCCCAGAATCTGAAAAGAATGGATCCAAGATCATCAATTAGTGTTTTTTTTTGTAGTGATTAACGGAGTTCTGGAATTGAGTTCGAACTGATCCATGTTGTGAATGCCAGATCATTTTTTGCGGTAAACCACGGTATTCATCCTTCCGGTGGTAAACAAACTACACTGATATGGGAGCCAGTAACCAGACCAGTAAAACCGCTGATTTTCATACGGTTTTTATTACATGGAGATAAATGGAATTCCAGGAATTAGCTGGAATTGGTTTCGTGCGCGGAACTGACTCCGCAATGTTCAACATCGCGGAATATGATGTATTCTCTTCATCTTTAGGATCATGCGTTCATCAATTCAAATATTTCTCAGAAGATTCGATGCTGTATTTTATTTCTGTATAAAAAACCGAACGATTAAACTTTATAAAAATGATTTATTTTTCATGTAATTCATTGAAGAACAGTCGGTCTTTCAATATTATGAAATATAAAATAGTTGTGAGAGCTCTTGCTGGATACGCATGTCACTGTTGACATTTTCGTAATATTTTCGCTTATTATTTTTCATAATCAGCAGGTTCTGTTGCAGTAATTGAGTGAATAGAAAACAACTTAAGTGAAAAACATTTCGAAAAAAAATCTGTCTTGTACGGTGTATTGCCTCATAATCATAATGGTCATAAATTCTTTATTTATAAGAAAAACTTGAACCTGTCTACAATTATTCGAACGAAAAATGATATTCTATTATTTTAGTATATTAGGAATTGTAGACACACGGTCGATGTTTGGGTGTAGCATCTTATATGATGCAACGAATCCTCTGGAGTCGCTCATAAAACATTGAACGGTACGTGCAACGTTCAGGAAAATATTTATTGATCTTGTTTATATGCATACAATTATTCTAGAAGATATTCGTTCATCAACCATCTATGTTCACCGCCGGTGAATGACCGGTGGTGTGGGAGTATGATGGATATGTTGAATTTTCTAACTTCTAAATAAAAATCCATTATTCATTTAATCAACTTGAATACAGTTTCATGAAGCTAGGATGTATGAAATAAGTGTGATAGTATAGAAATACCTAGATAATATTGTATTTTTATTAATTAGATATTTGAATATTAGGAATTATTAGTAGTATCAACATAAATAAATGAAGAAAAATAAATTTAATGAAAGACATGTTTAAAAACAAACTATTTAGCAAAGTAACTGTCGCGCAAGTATTGATCAATTACGTTAAACTATGATGAAGAAAACTGTTCGAAGTACTTAGATGTAAACATATAATTGTCGAGGTTACACAGATAAATTTCCAATTGACTTGATAGAGATGAGGAGATCAGTTTCAATCAGCCAAACACTAAAGAGAAATTTCAGAATATATTCACAATCATTGTTGTACAACTTTGAGATGTTTTGTCTTTAAAGACAACTTACATTGAATATTTATTTGAGGTGTTTCCCTTGAAAATGAATCCACCATATTTCTTCATCCTGTTTATTTTCATCCAATGGTGTGCAACCTTCAAGTATTTCACTGATAGTTATTTCAATAAATGGTTCACAGTTATTTTTATCTGATAAACATAATGTAATAATTTGTTGCTCATTATCTGGTAAATAAATAATTTGTTCATCAAAACGAAGTTTCTCATCAATTAATTTATTATCTATTTCTAATTTTGTATCAGATAAAACTTGTTTAGAATCATCTCGATTGAAGTCTTCTGTTTTTATACAAAAATTTAATCTTGATAATGTAAAACCTATACCGTAGCCTAACCATTTAACATAACTTTCTTTTAAACACCATAAACGATGAAAATGAGCAAATCGTTTTTTTTCATCTTCGGTTCTATTCAATATAAAATTGTATTCATCTTTTGTAAATTCTCGTCGAAGTAAATTTGTTAATGATTCAATAGATTCTCTTGGCTTGCTATTGACTTGATATTCCATTGTATCACAACCGATTAGTCCATCGAATGTTCCAGCAATGCAAACCAATTGATTATGATGCGAAAGATTAAAATCAAATTTTGTTGTAGATTCAATAAATGGACGGCCACGTTCAGTACGTTTGACTTCAAATGATGAACTCGTACGTTTCAATGCTCTTGATAAAAGATATCGAATTAAGAGTTGTCCAGCAAGGGCAAATTTTGCATCACGTTGAAATACAAATTTATCAATACGTTCTAGTTCAGTTTTTGTTATACAACGTGTGGCATAAAGCCATTCATCACGTGTTGGTTTCCAATTATTACAATTTATGTAATAACGATACATTTCAATAGTCTATTTGAAATGATTGTTGGAAAAATTTAAAAAAACGAAAAATATAATTGTCTATGTATTTATCAACCAATAAAAATGATTTTACACGAATAAAACAAGGCAGCAATGCATTTTATTCTTCTTTTTATATGAAATCATAAAATCTTACTTTCATTTCATTTCTATTAGTTTTTTAATTAAAATAATCATTTGATTTGTGTTTATATTCAAGTGAATAACATGCGCGGTATCATCAGGATATGAATCATACGGATCGATTCGAGGTGTATGCTCATTATTCTTTTTTAGTTAGAATTAAAACTTTCTTTGATATACATACAAACATCAGGCGAACATTTGTATTTAAATAGATTGTAAAAAAACAGAAAATGACAAATCTTATTACAGAATCATCATCAAATATTGTTAATGAGTTACTCGATGATATCAAAGAAAATATTATTCAAATAAGCGACAATTGTAATATTCTTTATTTGAAAATAGGATGAAAAGAAATGCTGTTTTTTTCAATGTTCTAGTTGATCAAATTCAATTAAATACTGTTAAACCAATTAATATAACAAATTTACTTGAAAAAAAATTACTACAAAATAATGAACGTAAAGATGAATCCAATAATCTATTATCATCATCGTCTTCTAATGGTTCGAATTTGGAATCAAGTGAATCGCCGTTACCACTTATTTTAATGAATAAACAAATCGAATTGATACATCCGCTTGAACATCAATGGTCGTTTTGGTATTTAAAAAATCAACAAGGAAAAGATTGGCAAGATAACTTAATGAAATTGGCGGCATTTGGCTATGTTGAAGAATTTTGGGCGTAAGTTAATAGAGTCATAACTTTGAATATTTAACCTGTTATACATACAAACAGCAATTGCATATCTAATTATATACTAATTTTCACTAGAACTTATCTGTAGATTTTTTCTAGCCTTTTCAATCATCTTCGTGTAGCTTCACGTTTACCACCAAGTTGTGATTATATGTTATTCAAAAGTTCTATTTTACCGTGTTGGGAAGATCCGCAAAATTCCAGTGGTGGTCGTTGGGTGCTTTATTTTTCCAAACCGGAACAGGTCTATTTGAATCTTGATGTTTGTTGGCTTGCTTCAGTAAGTCTATTTTTTCTTTCTCTTCTCATATGTTTCCACTAATAAGCAAAAGACTATACTGTGTGTTTTATTTTGAATAGATGTTAGCTCTCATTGGTGGTCAATATGCGCAAGATACAAATTATGTCAACGGCGTTGTTTTGTCAGCACGAAAAAGTTGTGATCGTATTGCCCTTTGGACATCAGTTCATCATGATCAACAACTTATCTATCGTATTGGGTATAGTATTTAATAAACGGAATTAATTTCGGAGAATAATTTTTGTTTTTCAGACGACGAATGCGTGAATTAATCAATATTCCAAAACAAACTCATATTTTATTCGAAGTAAAATTTTAAAAATTAAATAAAACGAAATATTTTTTTGCTTTTATCAGCTTCATAATCAAGAAACTACTACAACATCTAGTCTTATAAATAGAAAACGAAGTACAACTGGCAGCAACAAAGTCATCTATCAATTATGAAAAGAATTTTTTTATTATTGTTATTTTTTTTTCGTTTAAAATCAACAAAGATAAACAACTTTATAGAGAAAAAAAACATGTTTATGTCTGTTTATTATGATTACTTTTGTTATTGTTGTTATATTTGATTTCGTCGACGTTTTCTCTTTCGTGTGTGTATATGGGGTATACTTTCATAACCCTCTTATTTTGTTGTTTTTTAGAAATACACACAGAAAAGATAAACTTTTGAAAAGAACGAAGTAGAGAGAAACAATTGTGACACACCGATAGATTTTGCATCGTGTAACACCAATCGGTATTCGAAATATCGATTGGACACTTACAAAATGTGTTTTAAATACTAAGAGTTCATGGACTCAAATTTCTTTCATTTGCATCCACCCTATCAAATAAGTAAGAAAGAAACCCATCAAAACTATAAAATCCTATTTCTTTCTTTTTCAAATACACGAAGAAAAAAAATTAACAACAATAGAAAAAGAAAGTATTGTTCTAAACAAGTTTTGATATTTCATCAGTTAGTTCAGCTTGAATTTTTGCAACTTTACGTGATTCAACAGTATGTGTCATCGAACATGCCATTTGACAATCAGAAACAGGTGCAAGTTTTTCACCTAGACATAAAATCTTCTATTGTTATTTCATCGATTAACACTAAACTTACCAGCTGCTGAACGAGCAGCAATAACACCAAGATTTTCTTCTGCTGTACTTAATAAATATGCATTTGCATCACCGAGTGATATAATTCCTAGTAAAACAATAGAATTTTATCTTATTGAAAACATTTCAATAGACAAACATACGTGCAAGTACAATATCATCTGGTCGAAATTTTGTACTACATACAACTGAATCTTTATTTAAACTTTCAATATTTTCCCGTGTAATTCGTCCATGACACGGTGTTTTCAATGGTTGGTTATTAATAGCAAAAATAAGGCAACGTACAAAACGTGATGTCACATTTGTAACTTTGCAATAGGCCAATGAACCTACGGATGGTACAGCTAGCGATCGATCTTGGCGCACTACAGATATAATAGGTTTTTTATCTGAATTAGCTGCTGATTGATCGACTGTTGTCAGCTGAATTGTACCAGCGATACTTGCATAAATACAATTTTGCTTTTCATATGTTCCAGGACCAGCCGTAGCACGATCACATGGACATAAACGATCACCTGGTACACAATAATATTCAGATGATGACATCTGGAAAAAAAAACAAATAGCTATATTTGATTTACACAAGCGAAAAAAGTCGTTGACTAGTTTTATTTGAAATAGAAAATAAGAAAAAATTTCAATCGCTATCCATATCGTTAGTATTGATTGTTGTTTGAATGCCATAACGTTGAATCCATACGTCACGGATTTTATTTTTCCATCGCAATCGTTTCGTTTCATAATCTTCAAGTAATAAAGGACCAGCTAACGATGTTGTCGAATATTTTGATGATTGTTTAAAACTATTCCATAGTTGACTTTTTTGTTGTTCTATATAAGAAAAAAAAACAGAAAATAAATGAATCAGTTCCTCTCGATTAATAATTTACCTTCTGTCGTCTTATCACCGAATATAATAGCATCATGACGTCGATCATTAGCTTCAATTATTCTTGACGTTTTTTCAGTATAATTTGATGATATTGGTCGTTCAACCAATAAATCTCCATCTTCATCATCAGCTATTTGATTAATACGATCTTGTCTATCATCTTGATAGAGATGAAAATTAAAACTTGACTTTGGTTCATCCGAAGTATTTGATGGTTTATTAAATGCTTGCCGAATGACCATTTTAGCTTTGTCCTGATGAGAAAGAGACGAAGGTTTTTCGTCACGACGATATTTACGAGACATAGCTGTTTTTAAATTTGCCGTGAATATCGCTCAATTTCAAGAAATTTAATATAAAAAAATTCTTTTTTCAGTTTCTACTACAAGTAATAACATAAGCAATTGCGTAGAAAATCATCCATTCACATCATGTCAGCAGTAAGAAAATACATAAAGATGACGCTGACTGTGTCGCTCGTACATCCTGATTCAATACTGATTGGAATATTGTAGTTTTGAATAAAACACAGGAAAATAATCGACATTGTTTTTTTTTTGTTATTTTTACCTGATAATTTAATAAAAAATTAATTTATTATATTCTTCTAGAGAAATTTGTTTTCTTTACAAGCATGGGTGCGAACGGGACCAAGGAACAGCCACGCAACATTACTGTTGATAACCAACTTCTTATGACTGAAGCTGCATTACAGCAGCTTCAATCATCTGTTGGTAAAAGTTTTCCACAAGCCGTAAATACGCGCGCATCTGGTACGGATTCACCAACAACATTAAAAGCAACAAACAATAATATACCATTACCAACCATTGATACAACTGCTACGGTTGAAACATGGCGTGCATTATCATCATCAGTGAATGATGCTGAATTACAACGTTTAAGACAAGAATATAAACAAAAGTTACTTGAACAAGATCGAATCAATCGAGAAAAATTTAATTTAACAAAAGAAAATCTAGCTGCTGAAATTGAAAATGTTGAAAAGAAATTCTCCAAATATATTTATTCGCCTATATGCGAATTAGAACGGTCAGAAATAGAACAATGTTATCTAGCTAATCCAAAGCAAGTTTTAGCCTGTTCATTGATAGCTGAAAAATTTATTAAATGCGTTCAACAACATCGTGAACAATCATTACGCATATCACACACAAACACGAACTCATTAAATAATAAAGAAGCTCCTGAACAACATAGCTATGTTGATCCATTTTCAGCTAATACATCTCCAAATGCTGATTCGAATTAATCCTGGCAAAAAGAAAAACCGAAAACATTTTTCCTAGTGTAGCCATTAGACATGTATCCTAAGTTTCTTATTTCTATGTCTATTGAACTAGTAAAATTGATTTATCCCTATTTCTGCTAAATATTTGTCATTTTCTCGTTTGGTTTTTTAGATTATTTTGTTTTGTGTAAGATAAAACAGTTCCATGTTACCAAATATTGCCATTCACCAATTAATAAATCAAAATGTAAATGAATGGTTTACATGTGCTGATATTAATAGTAAACACGAGATTGTCTGTGGAACAGATCAAGGTATTATTTATCAAACGCAATCATCAACGAACGAAAACAGTTCAAATTATAAACAGCTGATAGGTGCGTGACAATGAATTTGAAATGGTTAAATGTATTTTTCTATCACATCGTACAGATTTCCTACTCTTGAAAGAGTAATATACATTTGTTTTGATATAAATCAGTAGAAAATCTTACTTCGTTTAACTCTAATATCGATATTTTAGGTCATACAAAACTCATTTCGGACCTATGCTATTATGATCCTAATGGTTGCTACATTCTTTCGTGTTCAGCTGATGCCGATATTCGTTTATGGCGTTCATTTTCTTCCAATGCTATAACAATCTATCGTTCTCATCTATCACCTGTATGGTGTGTATCTGCACATTTCAAGTCTGATCGTTTTGCATCTGGTTCAATGGATCAAACAGTTCGCCTTTGGACACCGGATCGATTAGATATTCTTCGCACATTTATCTATCATACTGATGATATAAATTCAATAGCATTTCATCCAAATGGAAAATATTTAGCTTCAGGCTCGAATGACGGTTTAATTATTTTATGGGCTCTTGAACAAGCGCAGCCAGCGCGAATTTTCAAATCTTCATCGAATGTTGAACATTTAACATTTACATCGGATGGTAATCATCTTGTTTCAATAAGTCATAATCATGAACAGAAGTCAGATAGTATTAGTACGTGGGACATACGTTCAGTCAATGAAATATATGTTGTTCAAAATATTCCTAGCCATCGTCGTCTACTGAAATCATGTCAAATACAAAATACGAATAATTGTGTGACCGGTTTTAATAAATCGCTTTTATTTTTTGATATAAATAATCAACAAGAAGCAAACGCTTTATTTCGTTCGGAATTTTCTAATGCGGATATTAAACGTTTAATCCATATTTCTTCCAATGAATCAAATAAACTAATAGGAATAATTGAATAAACGTCGACACAAAACAAAATAGTATTTATTATATGTGTTTTTTTTCTAGATGGATCTAAGGCAACGTCGAAAACCGATTATACCCATTGATATAGTTCGTGATTTAGATGCATTTGTTAAAGTTGAGAATGATTTCAAGCAACCGACGACAACAGGAGGAACGAGTAATTGGCGAAAATAGCTTTTGTTTACTATTTATTCTATATAATCGTGATTGTTTAGTTTCGATTATCACGTTTATTGTTGTTATTTGCTTAAGTATTATACATATCGCGACATTCCAAAGTAGTACACTTCGATATGATTATGATGTTGATTGGGATCATGATAGTAAACTTAAAATTAATGTTGATATGACGGTAGCTATGGGCTGTTCATGTAAGTTTAAAACGATTGTGTAACTAATATATTACATTGTAAAACAAAAATTCGACTAATATTTATTCATAGTAATTGGTTCAGACGTACTTGATGTTACTAATACAAATCCATTGGAAAGGTAAGTTCGTATTTACATAAGTGAAGATCTAGTTATCATCTTACGGATTTAGTGGAAACCTCCAAGAAGAAGATACATGGTTTGAATTATCTCCTCGACAACAAACAACATTTAATCGCTTGCAAACAGGTTATAAATTGGTACGACAAAATTATCATGCTATTCACGATTTGCTTTGGTTAAGTGGCCATACTATTGAAGAACTACCTGAAAGGTAAAACATTTTCTTTTAATAATGTAAAGAATACTGAGAAATGTACAAATAATAAATCTGTATTTTAGAGAAGTAAAAATAGATCGACCGCCAGATGCATGTCGACTACATGGTACATTGGAAGTTAATAAACTTGCAGGCAATTTTCATATTATTCTTGGAAAGTAAGTTATCGTTTTACTTCTATTTCTACAATTACCAATATCAATATTGGACATTTTCAATACAATTCTTCTATCATAACTAGATTTAATAGCGATAATTTTAATTATGACTTACGTCATATGCATACTCTTAATCTGGAGGCTGTTATTCAACTAAAAAGCATGTTTTCTATTTTCTTTTTGGGCTATAAGATTTTTATTTTTTTTTGGGACTTTTTATGGTAGTTTTCTTTTTCTTTCGCTATCTAGATCATTTTCATTTTTTGGTGCACATGCGCATATTAGTCCTATGGGTGCTCATGGTACGATTTATTTTATATAAACATATATTTATCAAGTCTGATCTTTTTTTAGCTTTGAATTTTTCTCATCGTATTGATCATCTTTCATTTGGTTTACCTACACCTGGTCTTATTCAACCATTGAATGGAGATTTAAAAATAGCAAATACTGGTAATTGCTGAATTTTCTTGCAAGATTGAAATCTATATTTATTTTCTAAAAGGTTCACAAATATTTCAATATTTTCTCGAAGTTGTACCAACAGTTGTCCAAACAAGCTATTCAAATGTTGAAACTTATCAATATGCAGTGACAGAAAAAGTATTTCATTCATTTGCATGTGACATAGAAAGAATACATATTTGTTTTGGTTTTTTGAATAGACAAGAAACATCGACCATAATACGGGTAGTCATGGTATACCAGGCATTTTTATTCGATATGAAATAAGTCCTCTGAAAATAACTGTTAAAGAAATTCTTCAATCCTATTGGTTCTTACTTATTCAAATTGGTGGTATTTTCGGTGGCGTCTTTGCTACATCCGGTAGGCAATTATTCTCAGTTAAATTTTGTGGAAACATTTTCTTTTTGATTTCTTTAGGGATGATTCATAGTTTAATTAGTATAATTTATGATACGTTAACTAAACAATGTTCGAACGTGCAAAATACAAACGATCCAATGAGAAAATCACTCAACGAGGAGCGAACACCAACAGTTGCTATCGGCATAACGTCCGAATCATCATCAATTATGTGACGAGACCCTATTGAATCTCTTTTAATTTTTCTTTTATGTGATGGTTTTTGTTCATATTAGTTTGTTTGGCTTGTTGATAATATCAGAAGACCTAATTTTATTTAAAAATCTAACATAACATTGATTTAATAGAATTGATTTATGCAACTTCGAATAGTTTGCATTGCAAATCAGTTCTGCATAGAAAAACAAAATATTATCGCTTCAATAATCAATCACTTGAGTGATGGCACGCACACATCGTCATGTGTGTATATATATATATATATATATATATGAGAGAAAGCAAAAGTCTTTCGATAAGAATTCTACTAGAATGATAATGGATCGAATAGGAAGAGCAATGGCGTGAAGAACTCAATCGTAACTAGAGAGAGAATTAGTAATTATCATAACCAAGTTTTCTCTTGTTGTTGTTGATGCATCAGTTGGTAGGAGAGCGAATTTAATATAGCATCCAACGTTCTTATCGCATTATCTTAACATCGAAAAAAGAACTAATAAGATCAGTAAGTTAGCAGAATAAGAGCATGAAGTCGTATCTCATGTTCTCGTTCACACATCAAAGATAGAACAAAATCCGAATATTTCTTGGTAGTTTCTTCAATATGTATTTTTGTTTATTATTTATTTCGTTTGTACATATTAAATTTGTTCAATCTACTTTAAATATACCTGTTGGTAAGATTAAGGCTGTTTAAATAAATTATCAAATTATTTTCTTACACCGAATAGGTTTAATATTTTCTGGATACGATCAACAATTTTATACTCGCATGAATTTCTTAGCTCGTCAATATATTTTCAATAAACTCGAACGAAATACTCGATATGACATAAGTGAAATTATTGAAACATCAAATCTAGAAAATAATACATTACCAACATTATGTAATCAATTGTCAAAAGGAGTTATTTCAATAATAAGTTATATCAAATCTGATGATCTCAATTGGTTATCGGCATTTTATTCAGCATATCAAATTCCATTTCTTAGTCTAAACGATAACAAACAATTTAAAAATAAATTTTCTCTCTCATTAATGCCTGATGTTTTACCAGCGTTGGTTTCGATCATACGTCGTTATCGAATAACTAAACTTGTCTATATCTATGATGATAGTAATGGTGCTCAACGTCTTAAACATCTTATGCAAATTCAAACATTAGCTATGGTACATCATATAAATATAATCAGTCGTTATCTAGATAGCCCAGATGATTCCTATGAACTATTACAAAGTATTGAAGCCATAACAAATACAGAAATGTCGACATCAACATCGATGCATTCAAATTCTAGAAGTCAACATCGTTATATTGTTTTAGACTTTCAAAAATTTGATACATATCGTGCAATGATGAATAAAATCAAACATCGTGGTATGACAACATCAAATTATCATTATATATTACTTACATTGAATGCTAAACAACTTGATATGACCTATTTTCGTTATGGTGGCGTTAATGTAACATTTTTTAGTTTACCATCATCGTATGATGCTAAAGCCAATAAAAATTATATTGATCTTTTAAAAAAAGAGAATCTTTTTACAATTGAATCACTATTATTAGCTGATGCGTGGCAAACATTACTTGTTACAGTAAATCACATTTTCAATTCATCTGATGATATTGATCAACGATTAAAATTATTTCGTGATGGAAAATTTAAGAATGGTTTAAAACAAACTATTGATTGTCGAAATAATTATATTCAACCATGGCTATCGGGAAATATGTATTTAAAACATTTAAATAGCATAGGTTTTCAAGGTCTCACTGGAAATGTACAATTTTCGAATAGTACTGGTCAAAGAATAAATTATACATTTGAGGTTTATCGTGTCACAGGAAATGATATGCCGAAAAATATTGGTTTCTTTCGAGCACCTGATACTCTCCAGGTACTAGTTTTAATATTGTGACACAACAATTTTCTGCTAGGAGAAGTTATATGAACAACAAAAATAAATTTGAGTACGATTGAAACGATAGAACTTACATCACTCGAGATTTTCTAATAAAATTCTCCCTTGCTAATTTACAATGTTCTTTTTTAGGTTGCTGATAATGTTTCATATCCGTATCGTTTGTTATTTGATAATCGAACACGTTTAATTGTAACTATATTCGACGAACCATTTATGATGTTAAAAAAGAATCCTAACGATACATTAACTGAAGGAAATATTCTGCGTGGTACTATACTTGATCCATCTCGTGTTGAAGGGTATTGTGTTGATTTAGCTCGTGTTATTTGTCATGATAGATTAAAATTACCATATAAATTTCTTATTGAAACAAAATATGGAAAAGAATCTGAAAAAGGCATTTGGGACGGTATGATTGGTGCATTAGTTAATCGTGATGCCGATTTAGCAATAGCATCACTGACAATTAATGGTGCACGAGAAAAAGCGGTAGATTTCTCTAAACCATTTATTGATTTAGGTATTTCCATAATGATACGTAAACCGGAGAAACAAAAACCCGGTGTTTTTTCATTTATGGATCCATTATCGAAAGAAATCTGGATGTGTGTTATTGTTTCGTATCTATTTGTTAGTGGAATATTATTTTTTGTTAGTCGATCTTCATCTTATGAATGGTATTTCGAAAATGAATCTGATCTCGTTCCACGAAATAAATTTTCTTTAGAAAATGCTTTATTTTTTTCTTTTGCCGCATTCATGCATCAAGGTGTTGATCTTTTACCACGATCGATTTCAGGTTTTATTGAATTCTCCTTGTGTATTTATTTTCTTCTTTTGTTTTTTAGGTCGCGTTGCAACAAGTGCATGGTGGTTTTTCAGTTTAATTCTTGTATCATCCTATACAGCTAATTTAGCAGCTTTTCTCACTGTCGAAAAATTAGTTACACCCATTGAAACGGTTAAAGATCTTGCTAAACAAACAGAAATTCGATATGGAGCAGTACGAGGTGGCTCAACAATGGCCTTTTTTAATAAATCAACAATAACAACGTTTAAAAGTATGTGGAATTTTATGCAACAACATAAAGACGATGTTTTTGTTACATCGAATCGTGAAGGAATTGAAAAAGTACGAAATGCAAAAGGTAAATTTGCATTACTGCTTGAATCAACATTGAATGAATACGTGAATGAACGTCATCCATGCAATACAATGCGTATCGGTGAAAATATTGATGCAAAAGGCTACGGAATAGCGACGCCGCTTGGTTCCGATTTACGTGAAGCTATCAATATAGCTGTTTTAGAATTGACTGAGAGTGGATTTCTCGAACGTTTAAAACAGAAATGGTATTACGAAAGAAGTGAATGTACAAATTCCGGGTCGAAAGATTCCAAAGTAAGCAAACCGCTTACGTTGGCAAATGTTGCTGGAATGTTTTATGTATTAATCATTGGCCTTGGAAGTGCAATGGTTATTGCATTCGTTGAATTCTTATTTAAAGCTAAACTTGATTCTACACGTTTAAATCAAAATATTCAAGATGTGATGCGAAGAAATTTACGGATATCAATAACTGGGATTGATTTCGATGAAAAATTAGATAACGAGGATTATTGGCCGTTGAAAGAACAACAACTAATGATTGCATCGTCTAATTCTCGTGCCATTCAACGTAATGAACGAATGTCAAGTGTAACAACAGATGTCGCTGATCTATCGAAAACTACCAATGATAACGATGCAAGTGCTCAAGGACAGCAATTTGAACAGATTTCTCATCTTTAATTTATATAAAAAATGTAATTAATAAAATTATTTTAACTGTAGATTCACATTAAGATTGAACATTCTATACAATTTATTGAAACAAAAAAATAATAGAATTTATTTAAATAGCAACATATTCTTCATCCGAGAGATCATACTCGTCATAATGTAATACTACAGTTATATTTTGATAATTAAGAGTATCGATTTCAGCAAATGCATGACGTTTTGTTTTCATACAAACTGCTTCGATGTTTATCTTAACATGTTTAGGTAAATAATGAAATATAACTTCACCCAAACGGTTCGTCACGTATTCATAAGTAATATGTGAACAATCAACGAGTTCTAAAGGAACCGATATGTTTTCAACTGATTTATGTTGTTGATTTAAAACGTTAACTTTTAACGATCGAGTACCCGATGCAAGATCAATCGCTTGATAAAATTCAATATTTTGTATTTCATCAAGAAGTGAAATATCTAAATGATGAAATCCGTCGGATAGTATTATTGTAGTTGTTGATATTTGTGATGATTCAGATAGTTGTACAAGTACAACATTATTATCCAGAATTGATAAACTACGCGAGTGAACAATTTGCGTGTTAAATGTGAGATTGATATGAGACGGATTAAATGAATTGATTCTTCCGATAATCGTGTTCGTGTGAACCAATAGATGATTAAATTAATAGTTAAAAATATGAGGAGACAGATGATCATGATATTCAAACGATATGAAGTCATTATTACTATTGATAAACACCGGAATTCTAAAAATTGATACAGTTACAAAGTTGCGATGAGACAAGGAAGCGTGAACCTTTTTTAAAAAAAAGTGTAGAATATGATTTCATCTTTAATCATTGTAGAGAAAATAATAATCAAGCAATCATTTTTCTTTCATAGGTAGAATGCTGTTGCAAAGTAGAGTACACGTTTTTTTTAAAGATTTACAAGAAAAAGCGATAAAAAGATGCTCGAATTGTTTTTGTTTCTTTTACGCTCTACTAAAATGCAATGAAATAGTAGTTGACATTGATGAAATGTTGAGTGACTATCGATTGAAATCCAAATAACAAGATACACTAAGATTCTCAAGAGCATGCTTTTTTTTGGATCATTTAATCCTATATCTAGCTATCTGATACAATTGCGGAACATTATGAAAGTAGTGTTTTTACAATTTGATTATTAGATAGATTAGTATCGATAAATTCTCATAGATTTGTAGTATTAGCTGGTTATTTCTCTATGAAAAATATCAGAATCTATTAATAATCTAAGCAGAACTGCAAAACTAAAGAAAGCATAAATATAATTAATATCATTAGGAAACCGATCCGTTGTTTGTTTCATAAAGATATAGGGTTTAATTTTAGATGCTTTAGTTTTTGACATCTTCAAGCGAACGATGAGAAAACATAACGTGTGCTAGATAAATTGCCAAAGTTATGAAAACAAAACCACTCCGAAGTTGTATGACAAAATTAAGTCAGCATCTATCAGCACGATAGAATAAATGTTGGAGAATCAATACTTCAAAAGATTTTATTATTTTCATTAACGATACATCACATATTTTAAGATTGACAGTTTATGTTTTCGGACTGCAGTTTAGAATCTTGACTATATCTAGTTGTTAAAGTGAGTCTAGAAAAGCGAATATGACTATTTTGTTTTGTGCACTTTTGTATTATTTATATCTTAATCTTTTCATTAGAAAAAAAGCTGTTAGCGCAATCCCTGTGGGATTAAAATGTGAAACACGATAAAGCTCCTTTTCTGGAACCCGTCTAACACGGTCTGTGGAGCTTCTCTGTCACGGTCTGTATTATGATGTAAGAGTTTCTAGAGACCATCGAAGACCATTACACAGACTTCAGAAGCCATCACAGACGGTGACAGAGAAATTAATTAATTAATTAATTAGCCAGCTAACTAACTAATTAATTAATTTCTCTGTCACGGTCTGTGGGGGGGGGGGGGGGGGTTTCAAATTTTAAACC